AAATAGGGTCATTGCGGATGTAACTGGTTAAAGTGAGGTCATACTAGAGAAGAGGGGCCTTTGCTCCAATGTGGCTGATGTTCTTATAAGAAGAAACCAGACACCAAGTGATGATAGCCTGTGGGGACACAGGCAGAGATGGAAGTGCAGCAGCTGCAAACCCAGGAACACTGTGACTTGCTACAAACTACCAGAAGCAAGGAAGAGGAAGGAAGGATTCAGAGGTTTCAGAGGGACCACGGCCCTGACAACATCTTTGGTCATAGACCTCTAGCCTCTAAGACTGTGGGACAGTCCCCTTTTGCTGCTTTAAGTCCCCAGTTTGTGCTACATTGTTATGGCATCCCTGAGAAATTAATACACTGTGCATGCCAAGAATGTGGTACCCTGGCTTATCCTTCCTGTTTGTTTCTTGGGATGTGTTAGTAGGGAACATCATTTGGGGATGAGCTAGTATCTCCATCCTGGACAATGGGCATGCTTGCTTATTGTTCATTATAAAAATGGTGGATTTCCTAAATTCAGAGTTCCTCAGCTGTGAAGTGGACCCACTATATGTGCAGCAGCATTTGGACTATATCATGCTGCCCCCATGGGACTTAAGGCGAGAAGGGAGCCAACACAAGCTGAGACTCACGACTCTTGTCATCTTTTTTTTTTTTTTTTTTTTTTCAGTGCTGGGGCTCCAATTAAGGGCATCACAAATGACAGGAAAGTATTCTACCACTGAGCCATATCCTCATTCCCTGTGATGGTTATCTTTAGCTACCACCTACGGAATAGTAAAGGACTAACTTATTTGCTTGTAAATAAAGTAAAATCAAATCCTAGGCACAACAAATTCTTGAAAAGAATCTCATTCCTGACCCACTTCCCAAGGGTGTTTTAGTGAAAGGATTTTACAGGGATCTGTTATCAAGGAGCTCTGCACTATGTTTGGAGATTGCATATACACAGGATAAGCCAAATAAGATGCTGCAAATAGTGGTTGAAGAATTATTATAACATTACTACAATATTATTCAAATCCCAAGTTCAAGGATATGCCATAAAGGTTGTGAGTTAGCAGGGAAAACAGAATGCTGTGGGCTGGGGTTCAAAACCTTGCAGGAGAGCTACAATTAAGATGTGGAATTTGGCTTCAATTTAGACAGTAGCATTGATAGGAGGCACAGGATTCAGGAGAAAGGGCTATTGTTATCACATTCCTTTATGATTCCAGGATATTTGTTCACATCTGTATGATAGTATTCATTACATAAGGTTAAAATCAGCAGCTTACATATCTGCCCCTGTCTTGGAGAGCTTTTTAAGGGGAGTGATATATTTTATTTACTTAAAAAGATCTTTGACATCTGTCACATAGTAAGCATGTAGTAAGTGTGTAAACAGATAGATTGATGAATACATGGAGGAATGAAGATCAGAAGTGCATAATTTGACGGAACATTTTACCTATGTGCCATACTGGGGAAAGATCTCAAATGCCAGGATAGGGGAATTGTTAGTAAAGGACAGAGATGACATTAGAGTCATTTCAGAAAGAGTTATTTAGCAGCAATGGGCATGTGGGTCAGATACAGAGGAGGAAAGCTTTGTAAGGCCATATGACAATTGTCCAGATCTAAGATGCCCTATTGTAATTTTGCTTTTTAAAAAGATCCATGTATTTTGACACAAAAGATTAACATCATGCTCCTGTGAGTCAATAGGGAAAGAGAAGCTAGGATAGTTGTGTGCCAGTTTATTGTAGAACACCAAGGATGACCTGCAGAATCTTGTGATTCCTCAGGATTTGTTCTATAGAGAGCTTTGGTGAGTAGTGACCAGATGGCAACTTTTCAGGCGGTTATTTATCATCATAGGGAGAAGCAAATCCTGAGCAGCAGAGATGCACCTACCAGTGTCTTTAGGGCTGGCCTCTTTTGCAGCAAGGCAGGGTATGTCACTCCCCACTGCTAAGTGCCTTCTGTGCAAGAGCTTAGAGCCTTGCTTATATTAGATGCAAACTTGGACCTCCCTCCAGGTCTTCACATTTTACTAGCCTCAGTACAGAAGGTCAAGTATGTTCAATGTTTTCATAGGTTGAATTAAATGTCTTGATTCAGTGACCACTGCTGAATCCAGTGGAGAGAGATTTCTCCTTTGATCCAGGTCACTGCACGTAATCTGCTTAACCAGCCCACTGGCAGACACCTGCCCCACTTCCTTCAACACAGGGGCCTTTGCTCCTGAAAAAGGAATAAAAAGCTCTCCACTGACGTTCGAGCTGCTTATGATGGGAAACACCAACCTATATTTCTGGCTATTGTGATTGTCTTTGGTCATCTGTTCTGGGATTAAAGGGATCTGTACAAAAACTTCCAGACCAGTAAAATCAACAAGGAGGTCAATGCATGCTTGCCCAACAAGCTTTTACAAGCTTTCTTATCTCACATCCCAGCTTTCTTTACCATCATCTCTTAAAATCAATGACTTATCTAGAATATTTGACTTTCAGAGGTGATCAGTTTTCCACCAACATATTATGAAGAAAATCAAACATACTGTTGAAAGGATTTTCTAGAATAAATGCTTCTACCAACACTTAAATTCTACCATTATATGTTATACTTGCTTTGTTATAGAGCCATTCCTTTCTACTGGTTTAACTTTTCAACAACCTCTTCCTCTCTATAGTAAAATTATGTTCAGCAAGAATCACAAAATAAAATGAATGATTATAATAGGTAGAAAGAAACAATGATATTTTTTACTCAACTTTGTATATATAGTTATGCTGTTAAAAGTAAAATTAACAAAATAAATATTACATATAAAACCAGTAAGCCTTGCACTTCATGCTCTGTAAAACTGTATTAAATTTTAAATACAAATTAACACTGAATGGGCACATGGAAGACAGAAAAGGAAGGTCAAAATTCTGTTTGTCTTCACAAGGGTTGTGCTGTGATTGTTTATTTCGAGTCTTCTGTTGAAATGCAGGAATATGGAATCCTATGGGGACTTATGGAGACAAGGACTCAGCCTTAAGTAAGTTCAAATGATGCCAATGATTCTAGACTGTTAGAAGCTTGCTCTTGAAATGAACAGGTATTATAGAGTCTTCTTTCATTGGAGAAAAACTGCACAACTCGGAGTTCTCCAAATTAACTTCTATATGACATTCATTATTTATTAAAATAACAGTAGTATAAGAATGTGCTCATTTGAAGCTTATATATGTATTAAGAAAATGCTGGGGCTCTGGCTTGGAGATAGAACAGTTCTCTAACATGCTTGAGGCTTTGTGTGTTCAATCCCCAGTACCACAAAGCAAACAAACCAACCAAAAAGCCCCCAGTTATAATGGCACTGTTGTTTAGAACTTACTTACACTAATCAAAGCCTTTTCCCCTCTATGGAGGAGTATTTTGTTGTTCACGTTATTTTGAATTGTGGGCATGATAATAAAAAGGAGGCTATAATTGTTTTTATAATTGTTTTTACCTTTAGTACATATAGTACAATTTCCTATTATTTGTTGCCACTTCCCACTCTTGGTTGTGTCAAAGAGAAACAGAACAGAACACCAGTTATAGGCTGTAAAGATAAATTATATTCAGTATGATTGCAATACAGGAAAGAGACTTCAGTATAGAGCTGAGCTCATTTGCAAATACAGCAAAGACACCTGGGGACTTAGTGCCAATAAGCAGAGTGAGGGGATCAGAAATGGAAAAGTGAGGGATCAGAAATGGAAAGTCTAAGAGAAGATATCAAGGGAGGGGGATTCTTGCTAAACTGACTTTACAGGATTCTTGCTAATACCTGGATAAGCTGGCTGAGGAGGAGGCCCAAGGATGAAGTCTAGTTGAAAAGAGGGCTCAGAGGTTCCTGACTAAACTTGGATTAAGGAGAGTCTTGGCTAGGAACCACTGCTTAGTACACATATTTTGCTAAATTAATAGAATGTGAGTTTGTTTTTGTAGTAGCAGGGAAATAATACTGAAATGGTGAGTCATTAAAGAAACTTTACTTTTATATTTTCTAATTTTCTGAATCATTCTTAGTCATTCTGTCAAATGTCACTAATAAATAACAAAACCCAAGAAGAAAAAGTATGTCACTGCATGTCATAATTCTTTTGTTTTTCTTTTCTCCTCTAAGTTAGATCCAATTTCAGGCAGCTCACCTAGTCTTTACCACTTTAAGCYAGTTTCTTCCTTGCTTCCTTATACACAGCTCTTGATACTCAAATTGGTGCCCTGATTAGCAGACCAGTGTGTGCACTTTAAAGGGCGACTGATCGGCTTTCCACTGATGCCCAGTGCCCACAGGGAATGATGTGTTAATGTACTAGCAATAAGGGAAAATCCCACATTGCCCCTGAGGATTACTTTTCCTATCTTTGGATGTAATTCAGACTGATAATGGGAAGAATGGGAGAGATGGGAATAGGGGATTTGTATAAGAAAGGGCCTCTGGGTTTACTGAGGACTGCATAACCAAAGTGAGAAAAATGGAGGAAAAGCCTGCTAAGAAAGTTTTCCAAGAAAGTGGCTGGAGCGTGGAGAACAGGTGGGAGAGGGCAGCCTCTGGAGCAGGCAAGAACTATCAGGTGCTGAGGATCACAAATTAGACCTCTTGGCAGATTGTAGGAGGTACCAGTAATAATTTCAATGATCTTTCAATATTTTGCCATTGTTGGACTGGGTTTCTAGTAAGGAAACTTTGCCTTGGGGCTGGCCTCTGAGAGTCCTTACTCATACTGGAGTTACATTAACATGTTTGGTTTGGGGTGGAAAGATGAGTGCTAGGTCCCTTTAACATTCACAATGTGGCCTTGAAGCTGCTTCAGTTTCTGAACTAGACCTGGTGGAGGTAAATTGATTCCTTTCCTCTGAAAGCTAGCTTGACTGAGGTGACAGTTCCTGTCCGTTCTTCTTAGTGAGCACAGGAGAGGGTAAAAGCTGGCTTGCAGACACCCCTGCTAGATGGTCACATTCATGCACCTAAAAATGGACAAAGAAAACGGTGATGCTTCATCCAAACCAGCTGACCTGAAAGTAAGTAGAGTGTGGGAAGCTTTCCCTCAGCCTTAAATGCCCTTTACTGTTGACCCTGTTAGTGAAATGAGGTTGTGTGACTTTCTAAAGATAAAGGGGACAAAAAGACAATCCTTTATCTCTTTATGGTACGTAATGGATTTTACAAATGTGAGCTTGTTTTAAAGTACTGTACTCAGCAATCGATTAGCAGCTGTTTTTCTAAAACTCCAGGGAAATGGTACTGATCTCTATACTACAAATTCCACTTTAAAATTTAATCAGGGCTAACTGAGACTATCTATAATGTGTTCTTGCACTTAATGATCCAACTTCGGCCTTGAGAGTTCTACGTGCACCGACATTTCTCTGCACCTCTGTCTTTTACTTCTTTGGAGGAATGATTGAAAGTAGCTTGATACCAGAGTCAACTCATCTTTCAAGGGAATATTTTTTTTCTCTGTGGAAATTCCACCTCACTCCTGCAGCACAGTGAAGCAAGTTTGGTCTAGGTCAATTTTTCCAGGAGGGATTCAAGCAACATTTTCACTGCAAGTGTTGACAAGAGTGTTTGGCAAATAGAATGAGGGAGCCATGAATAATTCAGAGTGTACTTGGCCACATATTATCCCATTAATTGACAAGAATAAGATTGGAAGACATAATTCTAAAGGGAAGAGTGAGGAAGAGTAAGAAAAAAAAAAAGGAGAGAACTAAAGGCAATGCAAAAGAGGGGTTATCTCTTCAGCATTGATGTTCTAGATTGTTGCCTCTAAAAGAATGTGTGGTTAAAAGTTATTTCATCGCTGGCGTTTAGTTACCCTGACATGTATAAATCTCTTTGTCAAAGAAGCTAAACTTTCTTCTACATTATTAACAAATTCACAGCATCAGATGACAGAAGGTAGAGGAGAAAATAAAAGAGGAGGAGGAGGGGACAGTTAAATGATGCATTTTGTCCCTCATGCACATCAGGACATCTAAACCAATAATTTTTATTTCTAACAAGTTCTTTGTTTCATTCTTTGCTGTATTTTAAAATCATTCTTCTGTTTATGACTGAAACACTGAGTCACCAAACAGTTCAGCCCTGGTGACGGTAAGACACGCATATTCTTCCACAACCCTACCCAACCACGGCATCCTCTCTACTTTTCATGCCTACCTCTCAGTCACGAAGCCATAGACAGGAAATCCGTTTATTTCTGTGAGGATCTCACTTATATTACTATTTTCAATCCTGCCTCCATCCAGAAAGAACTAGTTATGAGAGAAAAGCAATATAATATAGACATTTAAAGGTCTTACAGAGAGCTGTGCATGCACATGAATCTACCCACACAGAATCTTTATCTTCACCCCTGAACTTTAGATCCCTTAGTTGCTTTGCTCCATGATATTCAGGCTTTGGTTCCACAGCAGCTGTTCAATGTAGCTGGAGAGCTGGGGAAAGGATCTGGAAGCCATTGTACCAGGGTTGTATAATGTCTAGTTTTTCTGTTTTATTTATTTATTTATTTTGGTCTTTTTAGAGGTATGATACTGAGAATGGAACTCAGGGTCTCTCTACCACTGAACTATATGTCTCCAGTCCTGCCGCAGTCTTGGCTGGGCACAGAATCACGAGCCACCACACACCTTGTAGATTCAAACAGCAGTTCTTTATTCCCGAACTCACACCGGCCTCTACACACGTTCTGGGGAAATCCAAGTTCTCCCGCACAATTCACGTCCCAATTACTTTCTGAATTCCACGAGAACTCAACAGGAACTCAGGCAGCAGGAACGCCCTATTCCCAGCAGCAATAACCTTAAACCTGGAACTTCCCTAAGCCCAGATTGTCTTAAACAGGGAATGCCCTAAACCCAAGGAGCGGGATACTTCCTCAAACCTGCAGGATACACCTGAAACCTGGATCCACCCTCGTCCTTGAGCAGGGTCACCTTTCTCAAACACACATGCAAGGTCACAGCGGATTTCCAAGGCAAGTCCATTTAACATGGGGTACGCTGGCAAGAAATTTCGATGCATCATTCCTACTTGGCAATGGCCCTCAGCACAGTCCCTTTTGTTTTTTGAGAAATCTGCCATCCTCCTGCATCAGCCTYCCAAATAGCAGGGATTGCAGGTGTGGGCTGCCACACCCAGATCTAGTTTTTCTCATCTTCATCCTGTGACTGGGTACAAATCSACTTATTACACTTACAGGAATAATTTGCCTGAATACAGTTAGGCCTCTTAGCACCTAGATCTCCTGACTGGGGAATTCCATTTACGCTCTCGACTACCTCTAACTGAAAATATATCTTTCTTTTTCTTTTCTTTTTTAGATATCCAACATATCAGTTCAGGTGATCAGTGTCCCAGGGAAGCTGCCAGGGAGACACCCACCACGAAAGCCGGTTGGCAAAGCCAAACCCAACAAGCCAGCCAAGAAGAGAGCGCCTTTTTGGAATGTCCAAAATAAAATCATTCTCTTCACAGTATTTTTATTTGTCCTAGCAGTCATAGCCTGGACACTTCTGTGGCTGTACATCAGTAAGTGAAAGTCTGTATCCCTCTGGGATTAAGCTTGTGATGTGAGTTCTGCTCAGCCAAGCAGGCCTAACCTGCCCTCGGGGTTTCTGATGGAATTTTCCTCTTTCCTAAACTGACACACTATTTCCAAAGCTGATGTGGAGAATTTTTAAGGAGAAAGAAACCAGAACTGAAACCCATTTCTTCTTTTACCACCACCTCTTTCCTCCCATGCACAAGCAAGAGGGGAGATGGGAGATAGGATGGGAAAGGCTGAGGAGGAAGCTGAGGAGATTTCGAGTAGTTAAAAAATACAATGCATTTATTGCTTTTAAAAAACGAATGGAATGCAAGCTGTTTCATTTCCTCGTTCCACCCACTGCCTGTTTCTAGGCAACCTTAAATTTGCAGCTTCCTGAGCTCCATTTTATACACGCATCTTTTTCTCCCTATTGTGTTTTTGTCAATCTGATCCTTTTGGACAGATGTGGCAACAGCTCTTTCTTCTATTTACTCATGCAGCTCAGTGATTATAGCATGTATTGACTTGTCTTAAAGTTCCCATTCTATAGTTGATAGAAGATTCATAAAATGAACATGCATAATGACATAAAATGAAAGGCATGTATTTGACCTCTGCCCCTGGTATCTGGCTCGGAGTTTCCAACACTCTTGTAATTTTCTGAGTGTTAGGTAGGATCAGAGCATCTTTTTTACATATATATATAATATTTGATCTTAGTCCCCAGTTCCTAACACAGAGCTTCTAAGAGTCTTTATTGTGTTGATGAGATGACTCATGGCTGAAAAGCCCTTAGAAAGCCAGAGGAACCAAAAGTGTGAGTAGGGGCCTATAGTTTTCTGTCCCCTCAAAGATGGGACAGGGAGAGGGACTGGAGATGGAGTCACTAATGGTCAATGATTTACTCAATCATGACTACAGCATGCAACCTCCATAACAACACCAAAAGGCAGTGCAGAGAGCAGCTGGATTGGTAAAAGTCCTCTTGCTGGGAGAGAGGCGTGCCCCAGCTCCACAGAGACAGAAGCACCTGTGCTGTACCTGTTGACCTGGCTACTTATTTACATTTTTTAAATAATATCCTGTATAACAAACCAACAGTAATAAGTAGAGTTTCCCCCTGATTTCTGTGAGTCATTAAAGCAAATTATCACACCTGAGGGGGTCATGGGAAACCCTAACTTGTAGAAGCTGTGTTGGCATCTAAAGTGGTGTCAGTCCTGTGGGAATGAGCCCATAACCTGTGGGGTCTGACACTCTCGTTGGATAGCTAGTGTAGGAATTAAATGAATTATTGGATGCCCAGTTGGTGTTTGCACAGAACTGGAGCATTGATAGGTGTGTGTATGGAGGAAACAACATCACATTTGGGGTTGAAGGTGATATTGTGAATTTTAAAAATTCATAGTTTTAACTCAAATTTAAAGAATCTGCAACTAGAAAAAAAGAAAAAAAAAAAAACTTCTAAGAAGCAAGTTCTTGATAAAAATAAAACGAACCCAAAGACATTTTTTTGCTTTTTGTGGGAGACCGACTGAAACAAGATGATCCCCCAAGGTCAATAACCCAAAAGAACAAATCTGAGGCAGGATTTCAGGCTTCCTGCCCTTGCCCTGTGCTTGAATACCCCTCCACAGCCTCACTATTCTGCTTGGGTCCAAAGTGACCCCAGGTGGGTCCTACAAGGAAGGTTGCTCGTTGCCACTCTGTAGATATCATCTTCTTTTTAATTCAGCCATCATTTGCTTAGCATTGTGGTGTGGTGGGCCTTGTGCTAACAGGGATGTTCTCTTTCTCTCTTCTTCTACCCAGCACCTCCCTCCCCACCACCCTTCCAAAAGCAAACTTTTGTTGGACACCAAGGCCAAGCCAGGCACTGACTGCATGACGGGGGCAGAGGAAAATACACAGGTTACTGTGCATTCCCTCAGAGCTCACAAAGGGAGGCAGACAAGCAGGCAGCAGCTCTGCTGCAGTGTGAATTATGCCATAGGAAAGAAAAGTGCCAGGGCCCGGGAGCCTGCAAGGTTGCCCAGGAGGAGCAAAACCTGGGAAGCAAAGAGGAAAGGAAGAAAGGAGAGGTGTTCATGGCCCCCAGCCTCTGCTCTTTATTAGCTGCCCTAAAGCAACACAGAGGCAACAGCTTTGCCTTTGCCCCTCCTGCCTGCAGTTTCTGGCCTGGCAGAATACCAGTTCCACAGTCCTCACTGGGCAGAAGATTGGAGCAGGAGTGACCTGCCACACYGGGCTGAAGGCCACACTGGGTGGCTTGTGGGAAGGATGAATTCCCATGTATTGGATAGAGCTGAAGACTGGCCCAGCACCTAGAATGTCGGGCTACACAAGTCACTTGGGGGACAAATGAGAGAGCTCCAGAGATCAGTGACTGGAGTTCTTTCCCTTCTTTTCACCACGAGCTTGATGGTGTCAACTTTTAACCTCCCTACATTCCCCAGACTTGGGGCGCATGAAAATTTTCTATGTGCTTTTCAACACTTTAGAGACTCCAAGATGTATAGATTTCAATCTTTAAGTCATTAAGTATTTTCCAGAAGCAGATTCTAAAAATGGAGCATCCTAAGAGGTCTGTTGATTTGCTGCTGATAGAAGAGGTGTCATTAAGTACATTTAGAGCATCACAGGCTATGAACCAGTAATGCATGCAGCTTCTTAAAATGAGGTCATTTGGAAGCCTCATACTGACATCCATCAAATGATGCCTGTGGCCACACTGATTGGAAAGCCTCCTAATTGCCTTCTCTCCTCTCATAGGTAAGACAGAAAGCAAAGATGCTTTTTATTTTGTTGGGATGTTTCGTATCACCAACATTGAGTTTCTTCCTGAGTACCGGCAGAAGGAGTCCAGGGAATTTCTCTCCGTGGCGGGGACCGTCCAGCAAGTGGTGAGGTGCTGGGGGTGGGGAAGGCAGTGGAGTAGGTGGGTTGAGGGATAGGGTAGGGGTCATCAGTGTCACAGGTGAGCTGGGTTAAGGGAAGTAGAGGACAGGGGGTGAAGGAAGCTGTCAGAGGGAAACATGGGCATTTTTTCTATAAAATAGAATCATTTCCCTCTGATTAATGTAAAAAGAAGTGGCTCTCTCAATTTTTATTTTTCTCATCTGCAAAATAAAGAAATTGGATCAAGTAATCTTTGAAATGCCTTCCATATCTGAGGTTATGCACATATTAGTTAATGCTATCATTTACACATTTATGCCACCATGGTGCATTAGCAATCCCTTCACTTTAAAAAAACAAAAAACAAGCAAACAAAAAACCAAAAACAAAAGCAAAACTGCCAGAGACAGTGGTGCAGGCTTGGAATCCCAGTGGCTTAGGAGGCTGAGGCTGGAGGATCGCAAGTTCAAGCCAGCCTCAGCAACTTAGCGAAGCCGTAAATAACTCAACAAGATCTTATTTCTGGGCTGAGGATGTGGCTCAAGTGGTAGCACGCTCGCCTGGCATGCGTGGGGTGCTGGGTTCTATCCTCAGTACCACATAAAATAAAATAAAGATGTTGTATCCACTGAAAACTGAAAAATAAATATTAAAAAATTCTCTCTCCTTAAAAAAAAAAAAAAAAAAAAAAGGCTGGGTATGTGGTTCAGTGAGTTCAATCCCTGGTACCCAAACCAAACAAAAAAAAACCTTTCTCATTATAGAATTAATAAATATTTATTGTAAAAACCTGAAAGATCCAGAAAAGTGTAAAAAGAACATTAAAACCTTTAATGTCCTTACTAGAGATAAAGCCCCTTTTTATTCTGGACTACATAGACATAGAGGATAACACATACTGGAGTTTTAATGACAATTCAGTTTTACAGTTTGACTTTTTTTCTCTTAACATTACTTTGCATGTTTCTGTGTTAGTAAATATTCTTTTTAAAACACATGTTCTAATTGCCTCTGAGTTACCAAATCCTTTTTTATTGGGTGTTTAAGCTGTTTCCATTTTTTGCTACAATGGAAAATACAGCATTTTTTATGCTACATAAATTGTGTGCATCTCTAATTACTTTCTTAGGTGATTTCTTCAAAGGGTAATTCCTTGTTCAATAGAAATTCAGGGCTTATGGCACACGTTGCCACGTAGAAAGTTTCTGCCAATTTTATTTCTACAAAATGGAGGGGGTTGCCCAGCAGAGGCAATGCACAGCCACGGTGTAGTGTAGGATGAGGAAGGGGGAGAGAGAGACAGCAAGCAGCCACAGTGGCCCTTATTTACTGACTGCCTTCTGGACACTGGGTACTTWACCAATTGCTTCATCTCTGGTACTTGTGCACCAATTATTCCTCAAATTATCCCAAGGAGGCAGGCATTTTGATCGCTCCTTTACAGAGGGAAAAACAAACAAAACAAAGAGCAACGGTGGTCCAGCAGATTTAGGTAATGTGTTGCATAGTGACTTTAAACTTCAGAGCTCTTATTTTTACCATTGTGCCATATAATTTTTTGAGGTACTTTTTTCCAGCCTTGGGCGACTAAGTAGGTGGTTTTGCTATTATGTAGGAGAGGCAACAGAGGAGAAAACTTGGGAGAAGAGAATGAGCTTGGTTTTAGAAATGCTAAGAGAGCAAAAAAAGATTGATTTAAAGGGGCTGCGCATTTAAAGAGAGACGGTTCTGAAGGGGAATGGTGTGCTTCGCCCTCTAGTGGCTAATATGAAAATGTGTCCTTAAAGAATAATCAAATACTGAAAAGAGGTTTCATCAAATCTATGAAAAATGTGCTTAAATGAGTTTGGTTTGTTAACTCTGGAAACAATAACGGGTGTTAAACTTGACTAGATTCTTTAAATAGAGAAATAAATGGGCATAACCGATTATTCTTAAACAGCAGAATAAAAGTAGGTAATCCAAGGATTGCTGCAGGACGTAGGGATTTGTCTTGATTAATTTTGATAATGTCTGAGTTTGGAATTAGAGACCACTAGTTTGAGGCTTGCTTTTCTCCTTGCTAGCTGTCAGAGTGTGGCCCTGCAACACACAGAGTACTGTGATAGGAAGCCAAGCTTGAAAGAATTAGGATACTTTCATTTTATTTTTATTTTATTTTTCAGGTAAACTTTGTTTACACAACATCTGCCTTCTCCAAATTTTATAAGCAGTCTGTGGTTGCAGATGTCAGGTAATTTATGTCTTCTGTTTGGGGATTTCAACCTTCAATGTTTTAAGTTCCCCTCAACTCTGTGGAAGGATTGGGATTTTACTGTTCTCAAGCAACTTCTCAGGGGCAATTGTATGTTCTTACCATGATCACAACTAAGGACCCAGCCTCTGCCCTGCTCCTTATCTACCAAATTTCACATTCCCCTCAGGGCTGGAATCCCTATGTCAGTGTCTCCAGGCAAAATAGCCGTGAACATGGCTACAATATTAAGTGGATGGTGGGGGCAAGAATAAAACATGGACCCTATTTCTGAAAATATTTTCAGTGAAAAAAATGATTATTAGAGTGTTTTTTTTTTTTTTTTTTGTACCAGGGATTGAACTCAGGGCCCTGAGAAAAAAATTTTAAAAGATTTTATGTACAATAATTTTTAGGAGTAATTGTGAGACATATACTATATCCCATCTCCTACCACTTACAAAATATCTACAGAGATTCACAGTCCACTCTGACACACAAAGGAACTGAGGAATCTTGGAGTGAAGCAGCTCATTTTCCTTAACTTTTCATTTACCAAGTTATTTAAATTCTCTTATGTTTATTTTATAAAATATCCAGTCTTTATCCAATTAGAAACTCAAGCTCTGGGGTCAGTTTGAAAATAAAAATGGGCTTAATTTCTCTACTACTATTAACTAGCTGTGTGGTTGTGAATTGTATTTGGCTTCAATTTCCTCATCTGTCAAACTGGAAAAACACTAAGACTTTTTTCATAAGATTAAATGAGATAAAGCAGATTTGGCACTGTATCAAATGTGGCCAGGTGCCAAACATGTTAAAACTGTTATTTTTAACGGCAGCAAATACTGATTCATATCCACAGAAATAGTATAGTAATGGTTCTAGATTTGAATTCTAACATAATAATTAGAATATATAATGGGATGCTTTCTCTTTCTAATCCCCATAATAGGAGCCAATGACTACCTAAAGAAGGGAGTTAGGTTCAGTTGAAGGATGTGCTTATTGTCTTTGAATCTGTCAGTTGGGTCTCTTTCCTAAGAAAGTCTACTTCCTAAGAGATATCCTTGAACATCTCTCTTTTTCCCCTGTAGCAGCAACAACAAAGGTGGCCTCCTTGTCCACTTTTGGGTTGTRTTTGTCATGCCTCATGCCAAGGGCCACATCTTCTGTGAGGACTGTGTGGCAGCCATCTTGAAGGACTCCATCCAGACGAGCATTATAAACCGAACTTCTGTGGGGAGCTTGCAGGGGCTGGCTGTGGACATGGACTCTGTGGTACTAAATGGTGATTGTTGGGTAATTTGTGTTTAAGCATTGCTTCCCATAGCATTCCTTAGGACCATTATCATAGCCAGAGATGTAATGAAGTAGTCTCTTCTACAATCCCAGTGGCACAGGATTAGCCAAAGGCATCAGAGCTATGTTGGTTAAAGAAGTTGCCAAATATTATGTATAGTACAGCGATTCAACAATAGAACTGGGAACAAAACATATAGCAATTAAGTTTCCAAAGTATACATYGTACACCACACCCCCCCACACACACATATGTATACACACATATACAAATATATGTATGCTAGGCATATGATAARTTGCTGATAAATGAAAAGTTTGTTACATAAAAAATCTCTAGTGGATAATTCTACACTGCATTTACTATTTCAGTCATAAGATTAAGTATTATTTGGTTGCTTTCTTACCGTTAAAAAATGTTTAAGACTTATAACTAAATTAGTCCAAATATACAGAAGTAAAGAGAATGGAAAAATGAATTCTCATACATCCTTAGCTTCAACAACTATCAATTCTTGTCTACCCTATTTAATCTAAAATACCTATTTACAATTTACCCATCCCCTACCAGATTATTTTCAAGCACAATCCTAAATGGGTTTGAATGTTCTCAAGAAGTACTGAAAATAAATTTTCCTGAGCAAAATTCTAATAAAACAAAGTTCTGGGACTAATAGTCTCTTTCTATTCTCTTTTTCAATGCAGCTGGGCTTCGGTCAGATTATTCTTCAACCATAGGATCTGGTAAATTTTTTCATGTGGTACCTCCTTGTCCCCCAGATTAGTATCTTTTTTGACCATAATTTTCCTTTTCAAATGAGGTGTTTGTTAGTACTTTTTAAATTGCAAGTGACAGAAGTATATTTCAACTGGATTAAACAGAAAAGTAACTTGACTGGCTTATATAACTGGGACAAATGTGGAATATATTGACTTTAGGCATGGTTTGGTCCAGATTACAATAAAACACCAGGACTCCATCTCTGCCTTCCTCTGTGGAGGCTTCTTTAATAAGCATGTTCTTCATTGTAGTAGCAAAAATGAGATCACCAGTAGATCAAGCTTATAATTTATCATTTTCTCAATGGTGGTGGAAAATTCCTTCACACTTATTTCCTTGCAGTTCCTGCAAGAAGTCCTGGGGTTGAAGCTCATTATCTAGATTGGCTGATAGGCCCATTCCTGAAGCAATTTCTTTGATTGGCCAGTCTGGGTCACGTACCCATCTCTGGAGCTAGGGGTGAGTTTAACCCCAACCAAACTGTACAGKAAATGCAGAGACAGTTTCTCAGAGCAAAATCTGGGTGGTGTTACCAGAAGATAGGAGAGTGGACTCTGCTGACAAGGACAGCAGATGTCCTCCACCATGACCTCTTTTGCTCTCTGCTCTTCTATAAAAATTTCTAGAAAAGTCATTCCTAAAAAACAAGTAAAAAGAAAGAAAGAGAGAAAGTCAGAAAAGGAAAAGAAAGAAGGAAAGTACTGTCTCCACAGACAAAGGCTGCTCTCAGGACTTGTATGCAGATCATCTGTCTCTCCGCTACCCTCTGGAGATTTCTGCCACCTCAGGGAGGCTCATGTGTCATTTCAAACTGGTGGCCATAGTGGGCTGTCTGATTCGTCTCTCGATTGAGTCTATCCAACTCGAAGCTGACAACTGTGTCACCGACTCCCTGACCATTTATGACTCCCTCTTGCCAATTCGGAGCACCATCTTGTACAGGTATCACSCAGGCTGTCTCTATCCCTCTCTCTCTCTCTCTCTCCCTCCAACCCCTCCCTCCCTCTCCCTCTCACCCCCACCTCTTTAATGCAGGTACTCTTGTTGGCAGCCAAAAAGATTTTCCACAATCTTGGTTTCTATGGGCTCCCCTGGAAATTTTACAAAGAACATTTTTGTGTAGACTCATGAAGTCAAAGACTGTCTGTTTAGTATTCCTGATACTTTAGTAGTATCCTTGCTAGAGTCTATCAGAYTCAATATTTTTTACTTGTAGCACACGAGACTCTCAAAATCAGTACAGCAAGAACTTCAGTCAATATCTGAAATATAAGATATTTGTTTAATTTTATTTTTATTATACTAACAGTGAAGTCTATTGTTTCAATCAAGTATGACAATAAATATTCTATGATTACATAGCTAAACAAATTTTTTTCTTATTCCAGATGTTCATTGTAGAAAAATGAGACCAGAGAAAATAATATCAAGTACTTCATGATCTCATTACCCAGATCAAATTTCTGTTACATTTTAGCATAAATCCTTTAGTTAATATATGTTTATAATTATATATCCATGTACTTACCCGTATCCTAATATTTTTCACTTAATAGTAGATACCTGCTTAAGGGTACTTAATATTTGAAAGACTAATAATGACAAGCTTTATTAACAAATTATTATTCATTACTCACTGGGTACATGATTCTCATTATTTTAAAAAATATATGTCACAGTGCTTTATGTATGTATTAGTATTTATATTTGGTAATGAATGTTTCCATTAGAAGTTCAAACTCTATRCAAGAATAAGTTTGCCACTGGTTCTCATTCCTCAATCATTGTTAGTTTCTTTTCATCTTCCAAATATTTTTGGTTGTTATCTCTTCCACTCCTCAGCACAGTGCTATGGGGAATATACTATTATTATTACTATTACGATTTCATGGAAGGAAAAATGGTACACACATGGATAGAGTTGCTTGATTTCCTGGCATCTTTCATCCAGTTAGTTGATGGAGCTGTTTTGAATCCATTTTTCCTGGGGCAGAGCCCATGACCATAGCCATTATATATATGGCCTCTACACTAAGTTGTTCTCAAGGACAGCTCAGGGAGGGCCATCTAGGAGAGTTCTTTGGTAGTAGTTTGTAGACAAACAATCTGTATCTTTTTTCAGCTTGGTTCCATCTGTAGTATCCTGTGGCCACTGGTTAATGAAGACCCGCCTGGTGGACTAATTCACAAAAACCTTGTGAATGACTCTGGAAATGTGTGCAGTTACTGTTGGGTGGAGTCCCACACTTCCAATAGCCTGCTATTCATGTGTTTTTGTTTTGTTATCTGGTTTCAGAATTTGTGAACCCACAAAAACACTGWTGTCATTTGTTTCTACAAACAATCTCATGTTGGTGACACTGAAGTCTCCTTATATACGGAGGCTATCAGGAATCCGGGCGTATTTTGAGGTCATTCCAGAACAAAGTAAGTGTTTTCTAATTAAAAAAAAAAAAAGTTGCTTTTGGAAACATTTGTTATGATGCTGTCTTATCCTTCCTGAGGCTGTTATAATGCTGGTTGAATTAGGAACCCTGAATTGGGGCCCAGTCAGAAGAGGACAGAGTGAACTGTCAGCTTAGCATTAAGGTGTTAATTAGGCAACTCAAAAAAGGCAAAAAGGACACAAGAAAACTGAAAGATATCATAGAGGTAACACACTCAGGGAGCAACCACCTCCTCTATGGCTGAAATAGCGAAGGAAAGATGTTGAAAGTATTACCATTTAGAGCTTGGAAAAAGCCCGAGTGTGGAATGAAACTCTGGTTTTCTTAGGAGGGATTGCTGCTGCAGCTGCTGSTGCTGCTGCTAGCTCCAATTCCAGAAGTATGTTCTTAAAGAAAGTAACAGCATCCTACAGATCTGTAGTCAAAATGTAGGATTTGGCAACCAACATGGAATTTGGAATTTGACAATAAGTGTTTTAACTAAATCTGTGGGGTGCTATTTCTTTAAAAAAAAAAAGTTCAAAAAATATACCATAGTTTTAATCAAAGAATTGTGCATTTGTATTTGTAATTAGATAAATTAATGTAGTATGTTTTCCCATTGCCTCACAGCTGCAAATCACTGTGTGTGGACATCTTTTTCAGAGTGTGAAAACACAGTGTTGGTCAGAGAAACCACTGGCTTTGAAGGGAAAATTTCAAGTCCATACTACCCGAGCTACTATCCTCCAAAATGCAAGTGTACCTGGAAATTTCAGGTAGCCTAGTTTGCCTGTATATTAGAAAAATATTCCTATCCTATTTTTAGTAGAATTTCATTTCCTTTATTTTCTTTTTAAATTACAGAATAATATCACTTAATTTTATAAAATTTAACTGCACTGAAATATATTATCTAGAAAACTAAATTTTCCTGTAATTTCAGCCCACTTTTTATACAAAGTACATACTATTAACAAATGTGGGCTATTTTTCCAATTTATTTTTTTTWAATTTTCATTAAAAATGTAAAGACCTGCTTGTAGGATCAAACAATTATTTTATTATAACAGAGATTGTGGAGCAATTATTAATTACTTCATCAGAATAGTAATTAATAAAAATAAAAAATTAGATTAGGCAATATATAGTTCACTTGTGTAAGCAAAACAAACAGCAAATTTATATGAAGTGCATATAACTCCCCTCTTGTGCTAGGTGGGACATTTCTTCCCCCCAACCCCACAATATTTTTTAAATCTTAAAAAAAAATTATTTTTCTTTTTTATTTTTATAGTATCATGGAGACAGGGCAGAGTGTTGTTACCTTTGCTCAGTCAGTGTATATAAAATCATTATTATATAGCACAGCAATTAGATGTAAGTGGTAAATATATGTGGTTTGCATTTGTCAATATATTATTGAATGACTTCTCTGGGTCAAGTTCTCAGGCTATTTTAAACTTTGAGGACCTATGAAACTGGATAAAATTTTTTTTWWAAAAAGTTCTGCTCTTATGGAAACTACCTTTCAGTTAGGGAAGATAAGTAAACAACCTACCAACAAACTGGTCATATACACAGTGAGCAGCCATGTCTGGGTTCAGATCTGTGGATTCAACCAACGGCAGAGAGAATCCACATCTTTATTGACCATAGACAGACTTTATCTTTGTCATTATTCTCTACTATTATAGAATAGTATAATAGTTATTTATATAGCATTTACATAGTATTAGATATTATAAGTAATCTGGAGATGATTTAAAGTACATTAGAGGATTTGGCTAGGTTATATGCAGATACTACACCTGTTACTTAAAATGCTTATTATCTGTCAATTTGCATTTTTATGTGTGTGAATACACAAACAAATGATAAGGCTGGAAAAAAAAAATTTGACATGTGTTCTCATGAGCCCTGGGCTTTTGGTGAACATGAGACAGTCCTATTCCTTGTGTGTCCCCCACATTGGTTTCCTAGAGCTTGAGAGACTGTGAACAGAGTGACCCTTGAAGAAATGCTGGACTGGTTTGGATCTCTGGTCTGCTTTTTCTCACTTTGGGAAAGTTACTTATCTTTRATTAGTTATGTGGGTTTATTTATTTTTTCTTTTTCTTTAAAATGGAAATCAACCTTCTTTGCCTAACAGAGTTGTTGTGGTGTTTAATTGAGATCAACGAAGTGCCTAATTCATTCCCTCTCAAATGTGGGAGGTGAAGGGCGGCTTCCTGCATTTAAATGTACTTCAGAAACAAAGAGACACACATGCACACGCACAGACATGCATACACACACATGAAAGAGCAACACAAAATAATGGCATGACTAAAAACTCTGTCACGGTAATAACTGTCAATGGGTAAAGAAAAAGGCAGTAGGATTGAATTGCAAGAGTACTACCTAAAAACTTAACTTCGTCATTTTCAAAAGATAAAAGAAAAAAAAAATGACTCAAAAAAACTGAACAGAAAGGATGGGCAAGATTGTACCAGGTATGGATAAGTAAAAAGAAAACAGTATTCATTCTTAGTACCTGGCAACACTGAAACCAGGGCCACAACATTTCCTGGTTTGAAAGTAAGGAGAAGGGCAACTTATAAGATAAAAAGGGTGATCCACAAAATCTAATTATGATGATTATTTATGCAGTGAATGATATAGCATCAATACACACAAGCCAAGAAGTATAGGAAAGACAAAGAGAAGTGGGCAAGGCTTAAGTAAGAGATTTTAATTCACTTTCCTTGCATGATTCAGACATAGTGCACAACAGTAAATAGGGCCAGGAAAGCTATTAGGCCATACCAGTGAGTTTGGAAATAAAAATAAGCAGAGGGACCACGGAACATTCATAATTGGATCACAATCAAATCCTTAAGAAATTWAAAAAAAAATTAAAAAACAGTATAAACTGTAATCTCTCTTCTAATTAAGATGGAATTAGAAAACTTGAAAATGGGTAAGCCAAAATTCAACTCTCTAGAAACATAAAAATCCTCTCTTCCATAATTCCTGGGTCAAAGTGAAAGTGAAAACTAAAACGTTGGCATATCAGACATAAGGTGTACGTACACCACACAGTACAATAAAAAGGCCAGTTGTGTCGTGGCATAGTATGTGCATGTTTGCTCACAAGCAGGCAGTCTGGCTCCCTTGACCTTTTCAGAAAATACCCAGATGATTCAGTGACAGTCTTTAGGAATACCCAGGTAATATGAAGAGGAAGCTGATTCATTTCTCTTTTATCTACAGGATCTGAATGAAACTTTAAATAAGCCACGTCATTGTTTTCATCAACAGAGGATATTCTTTACACTCAGTAACTGGTGAATGTCTGCAAAATTAAGCTCATCCAACTGGAGCAGGCTGAAACCCAGAGACACTGCCTATGGTGTCCCACCTCATGGGCCCAGAAGCTGAGTCTTGAGCACCTGGTGGCTATCCTCTTTGTTCTCCACCTGTACTTCTTCCCATCCTGGTTGTTCAGGGGAGCTGGTGTACCACACCAGGGGCCACAGGGCACAGGAGTAGAACACCCCTGAAACAATAAATACCCAGCCAGCAAGGAAATGTTAGCCTGAGATTCGTCCTTTGCCTAAAGCATTTTTTGACTTGATGTTGTTTTTCACAGACCCCTCTGTCAACTCTTGGCATAGCCCTGAGATTCCATAACTATTCAATCACCAAGAAGAGTATGAAAGGCTGCGAGCATGGATGGTGGGAAATCAACGAGCACATGTAAGTGATTTTCGTATGTGAGGAATCTGATGAATCCTTGGTGGCCTCTGTCCTAGAGAGGATTTGTCTATCTCTAAAGAGTTTCCACTTTACTGTTGACAGAGGGCAACTGAGAGACAGAGAAATCAAGAAACTTGCACAAGGACTGTCACTCCTGAGGGACTGAATCAGGATTCAGGGCAAAGTTGATCTAAAGACATGGCTTCTGCCTCACCTCCACTCTGTGGACTTTCCATGTGTATAGTGCATGCTTTACAAAAGTATTTGGCAGATAAAATATTCAAATTCTAGAGCTACTGGGGAAAATAATAAATAGGGGTTCTGGTGGTACAAAAGATAGCCAATTCCTTTTGTTCATAGAGGCCTGATTGACCTGGCTTGGTCTGAAGGCTAGCAAATGGGTTGAGGCTAACCAGAAAAAAATCTCAAAGAAATGTAGGTGGTTTGGCTTCCTGAACCAACCTACTAGTCCCCACGGTCACTGTCTCCTTCCCTTGGGCTGGGGATTGAACCCAGGGCCTGTGCAAGCTAAGCATATGCTCTCCCTGAGGTACATGCTCTGATTTATTCCTTGCTTGTTAGTGTTGTTTATTTGCTTCTGAAACTATAATAGGTATTTAATAGCCATTTAATTGAATTAGCATTCAAAATACAGGACACCCTGCTTTGGCAGTAGAATGGCTTCTCATGGGGCTGGGGATGTGGCTCAAGCGGTAGCGCGCTCGCCTGGCATGCGTGCGGCCCGGGTTCGATCCTCAGCACCACATACCAACAAAGATGTTGTGTCCGCCGAGAACTAAAAAAAAATAAATATTAAAAATTCTCTCTCTCTCTCTCTCTCTCTCTCTCTCTCTCTCTCTCTCCTCTCTCACTCTCTCTAAAAAAAAAAAAAATGGCTTCTCATTTCACTTTTCAGAGAAGCATCCTGTGAGTTTGAAGGCTTTGCCTGCTAATTTTTTGCTCATTATTATTTCATAAATGAAACCTTCCCTAAGTGCTTTTCCTTAAACACCTTCTTTCAGTTCCTTTACACAAATTGCAAAATAGTCATCTATCCTGTCTTCAGAGGAGTAGGCCCTATCAGATTAAAAAATGTTCTTGTATCCATTCTTAAAATGTAGCCAGTATTCCTTTTGGGAGTGTAACTGAATCAAGGGTTTGTTCTGTAGGAGACAGGAGACCTGGCTTCAAATTCCAGCCCTGTCATTTAGTAGCTATATTAAGTAGGGCAAATTACTTAATATCTTTGATTTTCAGTTTGTAAATAAGATGATAATTCTCAATAAGGGTTTGTGTTTGGGCAAGCATTCAAGGACATAGTGCATACAACAGACCAAAAATATGATTTATGTTAATATAAATAACGAGATTTTTTTGGAAATTATATTAATGAATAAGCACTATAGAACATGCCCCAAGGCTTCACAGGTACTGCTTTTTGCTGCTTAATAAATATAGAAATCTTTACACATCTTTTGTATGATAAGCCTGTGACTAAACTGTGCTTTGAATAAGAAATATTATTATTTTTTTTCCTCCCAAGTCACAGCAGAAACAGTCCAGGATGTGTGACTGCAGGTAGGAGCAGGATCTTCTCCCAAGCAATACCAGGAAAGCACTCTGCCCCAATGCTTCTCCTGAAAGGCCAGTTCTTCCTGTAGTCTGTAGGCTGGCTGAAATCCTATCAGATTTATTTCATGTTAGTTGTACCCTCAGGATTTAAAATGCCAGCCCTTTCCTTATCCTTTCTTCTCACTGGAAAGGGAAGGCTCTAATTGAACTAATAAGACCCCTTGCTGAGAAGTTAGCCTAAGGGAATTGGGGCTGTAAAGAGAAAGGTGGAAAGAGTCATAAGGAATGGGGAAAGACTAAGGATTTCCTCAAATAGTTCAGAGAACCTAACCTCAAAGAAATAATGGTCACCCTACAAGTTGGATGCCTTTAGAGAGGAAAAGCAGAGCAAAGCCCAAGGAGAAGGCCACTGGATGTTCTAGAAAGTGGCCAGAGTATAACCTCAGGCCAACTGTGTTCAAATCCTGGTTCTACTTACTTGCTTTTGAACTTTAACAAATTATTTCACTTATGTCTGTTCCTGACTTGTTATATGTCTGGATACATAAATTGACTCTTGTTGTGTTTCTCCAATCTCTCACTTTTTGAGCTCTAAGTCTCTAAGCCTTAATCATGATCCATTGCATAGGATCTCCCTTTAAGCTCCAGCCCAACTATGGAGGCCAACATCCTTCATCTTAATTCCCTTTTAAGATGCCTAAGTAGGACTCATCTTTGGAAGAAAACCCTAGATGTTAGTGGAGAACACACACAAAACACATCATGTCTTTAGATCATGGTGTGACCATCTCAAGATGATCAATTAGAGTAGATTCTGATCCCCAAAGCTTGGCTTGGCTTTCAGGAACCTTTCAGACCTGGCTCCGACTTGGCCAGGTGGCCACCTACACCTGCTATCTCTTCCTTATATAACAGGGACTGGCTTATCAGTCCATCAGTTCCTSAACTTCAGCCAATTGCAAGAGACTCTTCCTGAATGACATGAGAATGCTTTCCTCCCTAAAATCACAGATTATCTGTGCTTTAGAATGCAGGTGTCTGATTCAAAGGGCTTTCGAGGTTCCCAACTGATTTGAGGGCCTAGAGTGATTGGCATTCACAAGTTCCAGGGGACAGTACTACCCCAAGTCTTGAGGCTGCTCCCTGTCTCCCATGGAGACCCTAGAGGTTTCACACTGGAAAACGCCTTGCCCAAACAGGGCAGTGGACTTCTCACAGGCCTTCTGTATAATAATGTTCCTACTCCATTGCTCACAGAGCTCATGTAGCAAAATTACTAACCAGAGGGATTATTTTCCCAAAAGAATTTTGGGAACCCTGGTGGCATTAAGTAATGAGAGGTAAGAAAAAAATCAAGGGAGGGAAATATTGTGTAGAGACATTACTTCTTGGAAATTCTACCAAGGACAAACACAGAGGTGCATATCATATTCTGATTTAGATGGAAATAGCATAGTCGTTTGCTTCAAGTGTTGATGAAGTTCTTTGCATATTTTCAACCTGAACTCAGAGATTCCACTCTGCTCTGCACAGAGGTCTGTGGGCAAGACCTTCTTGTTTCATGTTTTATTTTTGTTTTTCACTGAAAGGAGATGGGCCTAGAAGAATTAAATTCATAGTTTGCTTGTGAGTGTTGGTAGTACTCTTACTGCTCTATTTAGCAGAAGATAAAATTGGGGAGAAGTTACTAGATTGTGGCCACATAGCATAGGATGGATTCGATACTACCATTAGTGCATCTCTGCTTAGGAAATCCAGTGACCACAGTACAGATGAATTTACTGTCAACAGGAAGGCAGTTGATGAAACCTCAAGCTGTGTGTCCTCTCCTACTCCTGTCTCCTCAGGTACTGTGGCACCTACATGGATCATCACACGATTTTCCGAGTGCCCAGCCCTCTGGTTCACATTCAGTTCCAGTGCAGTTCAAGGCTTTCGGACAAGCCACTGTTGGTAGAATAYGGCAGTTACAACATCAGTCAACGTAAGCCTGGTTGTCAACGAGATCCTTAGAAAACCTCAATAAGTCATCACATGGTGAGCTGGGCATGGTGGCACATRCCCGTGATTCCAGCAACTTAGGAGGCTAAGGCAGGAGGATTATAAGTTCAAGTCCAGCTTCAGTAATCAGAGAGGTCCTAAGGAGCTCAGTGAGACCCTGTCTCAAGAAAAAGTGCTGGATGTGGCTCAGTGGGTAAGTGCCCCTGGGTTCAATCCCCAGTACTCAAAGAAAAAAAGTTATTATATGGTCACCAATGCTTTATAACTTATAACCTCAAATATTTCAGGAATGAGTATAGCTTCTTTTTTTGTTATTTCCTTTTATATATGTATTTTTAAAAACAAATTTTATATATATATATATACACACACACACACACACACACATAAATTATGTTTTACTGCTTTATTTTAAGTTGCAGAGAAATCATTTAATATTTTTGACATTACTGATTTATAACTGAAGTATAACTTCTTACATTATTCCTGAAATACAGGACAAGTCCGTTTTTTGGCTTGTTATTTTTCTGATTTTTGTGTTCATATCAACATATAGAAGATCTGAGACCTACAGTTTGATTCATTTTGGTCTATGGTGCACAAGGGTAGCTGTTTGATTGAAAGGATTCAAATAACAGCACTCAGAAGGTAGAGCTGCTGGAACAGCCACCAGGAAGTGGCTAATAGAAAAGAAAACATTTGAGGGAAGTATTGGAGCTGGAGTGTAGATAAGGACATGTTCAAGAAATTCTAGACCCATTTAAAATGGGGAAGTATAAAAGTTATTCGTTGAGGAACTTATGAAGATATGACATAAGCGAAAGGAACTTAGACCTTGTTGTTCTCTGACAATCCCCAATATCCTGCTTTTATTTGGAATATTATGCTCAGAATACTACAATCTCCAGCAGGGTCTCAAGAAGAGCCAGTCATTTCATTTCTGTGTTTTCAAACTATGACTATTCCCCCTGACTCACCGGCTCCACCATGTGCCATTGAGACAGAGGTGGACCTATAATGCACTCTCCCACTGTTCTTTTACACAAGGGAGGAAGGATTTATTATTTCAGCAATATTCATATACTAGCTTAGAATGTGATTTAAGCCAACAGAGGGAGTGGATCTTTTATGAGCAGCCTGATTGAAAAGGAAAGAATAGTGGATAGTGAAGTAGGAGGCAGGAGTCTTGGCTTTGAGGCCTGRCACTAATCTCTCTGGGTCAACTTGAGTAGATCAGTGGTTACTCTTATATTTTGGAACACAGATCACCTGAAAATGCAATTAAAGAGGAAGAATAATGCTTTTGATCACAGACAATTTGGAGAAAGCAGCATCCCATTTGTAATCCCCCAGAAAGTCTAAAGCCTGCACATTAAGAATGCTGGCCTCTAATATGTCTTCCAGCTTTCCCATGCTTCAAGTCTGTATTAGTGCTGTGGAGCTAAGTCAAGGCAGAGGTTTTTTTTTCTTTTTCTTTTTCTTTTTTCTTTTTTTTTTTTTTTTTTTTTTTTTGTGGTGCTGGAGATTGAATCCAGGCCTTTTTGCATGCAAGGAAAGCACTTGATTTTGAAGGTGACTTGGATGCAGTGGTTACTCAGACCTCCTGTTTAATTAATTTTCTTTTTTTGTTCACTTGGGTTCTGCTTTTTTGGCTTGTCATTACCCACAGCCTTATTTAGATGGACATATTATATAATTACTCCTGCTACCTTGTCAAATCCCTAATCATTTAAAGCTTCATGTTTCTTTGCTAATGTGGTCTGGGGATTTTTCAGGACCCACATGACATATTCTTTTTTCTTTCTTTTCTTTTTTTTTTTTTATTGCTTATAGCTTGTCCTGTTGGATCTTTTAGATGCTCCTCTGGTTTGTGTGTCCCTCAGGCTCAGCGCTGTGATGGAGTAAATGACTGCTTTGATGAAAGTGATGAACTTTTCTGTGGTGGGTATTCAGGCTTTGAATATGACTTTCTTAGACGTAACTTGTCAGGGCCATTGTTGCTGCTAGTGTCCACCTACAGTCTGTGTAGTGTAAATAGTGTTATCTATCACTACCTAACAAACTATGCCAAAACTCAGTGACTTATTCTGCTACCTTTCCTATCCTCTACTATCCCCCCTCCCCTCCCCTCCCATCTTCTCTCTCTACCCCATCTACTGTAATTCATTTCTCTCCTTGTTTTTTTTTCCCATTCCCCTCACAACCTCTTATATGTAATTTTGTATAACAATGAGDGTCTCCTTCCATCTCCATGCAATTTCCCTTTTCTCTCCCTTTTCCTCCCACCTCATGACTCTGTATAATGTTAATCTTTTCCTCCTACTCTTAAGGTAGCAGAATACAACAGTTACTATTATGGCATTATGTAAAAATGTGTGTAACCGATGTGATTCTGCAATCTTTGTAATGTTTTGAATAACCAATTAAAAAAAAAGAATGGAGTCATAATTAGAATAAGTTATACTCCATGTTATGTATATATCAAAATATACTCTACTGTTATTGGTATCTAATAAGAAAAAATAATTTTCAAAAAGCTATTGAGGGCAATTTATTACTTCTGCTTATTAATAGTTGGTATTAATATTAAAAATATAGGAAGTTATGAGAAACAAGTTGTTAAAACACAAAAAGAACATATTCATTTTTTCTTCAGCATTATATTGAAAAATATAATGCAAATACAGGAAGCACATAGAACAAATGCAGTATACAACCTAATTGTTGTGACTTGAAGAAGTTCTGCATGTATACCCATTAAAGCCCCATGATTAGGTCAATAAATAAACTATTGCCAACACACACACACACAMAAAAAAAAACTCAGTGACTTAAAACAGTCATTCCTTGTCCTCCTCCTCCTTGTCCTCCTCCTTCTTTTTTTCCTTCACCTCCTCCTCCTCCTTCTTCTTTTCTGTTGTTTTCTGAAAATAGATTACTTCAGATGCATTTAATTGTAATTAAATAAACAAACCATCAGAGTTCAACACAATTGCAAAAATCAGATCTGACAAACTCAAGTGCTAGGATTTGCTCCAAAGTTTAAACATCAGCTTTTCCTCATGAAGATGCTGCTGTTGAGGAAAAATCACTCTCTAGTTTGTCATCTTAATATTTTGTCCTTGTAGAGGGACACTCCTGGTCATGGGAGAAGGCAGATGATGTCCCAGGCTCACAAGCCTTGTGTCTTTTCTCATTCCAGTGCCTGTTAAACCTGCCTGCAACACCAGCTCCTCCAGGCAGCACGGCCCTCTGGTCTGCGATGGCTTCAAGGACTGTGAGAATGGCCAGGATGAGCAGAACTGCACTCGGAGTGAGAAGGGACCCGTGCTCTGTTGTGCTTCCTAAATCAGAACCAAAATGCCTTTGCTGAGTCAGGGCAATCATTAGTCCCAGAGTCCCCAAAACTTTTCCAGATTTGGCACTGAAAATCCCTTGTCTGGGGAAGCTCCTCAGTCCTAGAAAAAATGAGTGACTAAAGTTGGTGACTTTAACAGGAGTGGACTTGTGCTGTGTGTGTGTGTGTGTGTGTGTGTGTGTGTGTGTGTTACTGTGTGAATACTGGCAGATTTTCATTGCTTACCTGCTGTTTTTTTTTTTTTTTTTTTTTGGTACCAGTGATTGAACCTAGAGATGCTCAACTAATCAGCCACATCTCCAGCTCTTTTTAAAAATATTTTTATTTTGAGACAGGGTCTCGCTAAGTTGCTTAGGGCCTCACTAAATTGCTGAGTCTGGCTTTAAACTTGTGATTCTCCTGCCTCAGCCTCCCAAACCACTGGGATTACAGGCGTACACCACTGTACTCAGCTACTTCCTTGTTTTTAATGCTACTTAAGTTGCAGGATACTGAGGATCTGATGTAGAGGAACTTGCCAGAGACCATGAAGGGACAGAAATGCAAATTGTAATTACTACAGAAATGCAAACCTCCTGAGTTGTGAACAAATGTGTGGGAATTCATGCCATCTGTCTATTTTTCTTTTCTTGGATGACATAAAAAGACGGATGTGGTAGTGATTTATGCCCAAAGACCTTCCTTGGAGAATAAGACACAATAACAAAGAGGCTGTGGCCTACAAAAGCCAATGCCTTTGCATCTCACTCACCTACAGGGGAAGAAGGCCAGGTAGTTGGATTGACTCTCAGCTGAAGTGCTTGCCTGCCTGCCTTCTTCAGCGGCTCTGAAAGGTCACTGTGGGTTTGTTCCATTTCTCTGCTAGTTTTTCCCAGAGCAGCAAATAGCGATTTTGTGGCTAATCCATCCTTTGCAAAGATCAGTGTCATTTACTCAGATGTTTCTGGCTAGAAAAAAAACTGCTTTTTCTTTCACTCGTTTTTAGGCATTCCGTGCACCAACAGAACTTTTAAGTGTGGCAATAATATTTGCTTTAGGAAACAGAATGCAAAATGTGATGGGATCGTGGATTGTTCAGATGGAAGTGATGAAGTCGGTTGCAGTGAGTAGAAAAGCTGCTCCTTCTGATTCCTGTCTTCCCACCTGGTTTGCCCATTTTCCATTTTTATTCTCTTCCTCATGGAATTCCCCTGGCAGATGTTACCACAGACCAGGAAATAATAGTAAATCTTGGTGAGCTGAGTCTGAAATTATTTCTCCATCTTCTTTCTTGATACTAAGCATCACTACACTAGATGTTTCCAAAGAGAGCTTTCAATTTCTAGTAACACTAATGAAGGAAGAAGGTCTTAAGTAAAATAGCCTGTGACAAATGAAAAAGTGGGCTTCTGGAGGATTTTTGCTTRTATCTTACTTTGTGAACAATATCAATTGTTGGTTCTTTGTTGATTCAAAACCCACTAACTGTTCTGTGCCATGTGTTCTTTTTAGTCATGTGGCTTCTAATTGGCCATGTGGCAGCAGGTTAATTATATATCATTATCGATACTATTTACACAAAAAGTAAATTACACTAAAAGTAATTGCTCTGATAACTAGTTTGTCTTAGGCTTTAATTTATCTTTGTTTTACAAATTTTTCTCTTAGATTAGCACAGCTTCAAACACATTATCAATTCTGTTATATCAGAACTTACCTTTTTCGTCCCCATCTAGCCACCTAACACCAGGGCTGTTGTTTGTATCAGTACAGCTGTTACTATGGATCCCTCTGCCTCCGCATGCATTACTGTACGGAGACTTCCTGTTAGGGCTTGTTTTCTGGAAGGAAGGAGTGGTCTGCTGGTGCTGGTTTCAGACAGACCCATAAAATTCCTTTCTAGATAAGCAGGCGATTTTAAATTGCTTACTTGGTGACTCAGTTCTGAACCTGACCAGCACTGAACCTGACCTAATTTCCAGTTTTTCTTCAAGTCTGCCTTAAATCGCATGACCCTTCCTCTCTACCAAAGGCTGTAGCAGGCGTTCGTCCACTGTCTACCGAGTCGTCGGGGGCACTGACTCCCAGGAGGGGGCTTGGCCATGGCAGGTCAGCCTCCACTTTGTTGGATCTGCCTACTGTGGYGCCTCCGTCATCTCCAGGGAGTGGCTTCTCTCTGCGGCCCACTGTTTCCATGGAAACAGGTAGGGTATCCCAAACCTTACTCTTGAGTGGCACATTCTGACAACAGACCATACATCTGCCCTGAATATGAGAAGAAGCCCCTACTAGGAAAAAAAATAAAACCAATCAATTCAATCGGGCTACCTTTTTGTTTGTTTTGGTGGGATGGGGRCACTGGTTACGTGTCAAATAGTTTTTATTTATTTTAGGTATTATTGAGATAAAGAAAGAACACAAAGGAAAGATCAAGAATGAATAGTTTTTACTAGACTGAGGAAATAAAGAGAGGGCTTTCAAGTCAGATGGGCAGACCTAATAGGCTGTGTGGAGAATGTGGAGGAGGGTGGCTGGAATATGGGGATCCCTGTTTGCATTGGGGGTGATCCTGGGAAGGTCTGTTAGGGTTGGCATTGGAGGGGCTCTGTCTACCTTTGCCAGTGGGATTATTATGAGACAGAAGATCTTCCAGCTAAGGGTGAAAGAGAAGCTTAAAAAGTGATCTAACTTGAAATTTAAACTTATTTAAATCTACTGGACCTTAGGTACAAAACTAATTTCATATTCTGAATTTTAAGAGATTTCGACTAAGTTATACAATTTGAGTATATACTCTTCCAATAAATTACAGGAATCATGTTAATTACTGAAATAGCTTCACCTCTGATCATTAATCTTAAATGCTGTGAAACTGCTGTGTTCTTATTTTTTTCCAAGAGTTTTCATATTCTTTTCACTTTGAACTTCTCTTTGGCTGCCCCAGGGTGAGATCAAAGCCACACATGGAGACTACAATCCCCTCTGTGACTCTGTGCAGGGTAGGGGGCAGGGTCAACATTAGAATTCTGGAAGGACTGATCATGGGGGTGGAGTTTGGTACCTTTGACTGTCATATTTAAGCAGCTACAGCAGCTATGAGGTTCTGGTAGCTTGCAGCAAGAAGGAATTTCATTAAATTTCTGCTTAAAGCACTTAATTTTTTTACATTGACTTTTTATTTGTTCTTTTTAGTTATAAATGATGGTAGACTGTAGTTTGATATATTATACGTACATGGAATATAACTTCCCATTCTTCTCATTGTACTGGTAAACACTTCATTTTCTAATCTGTCTTGAAATTGATATCATTTGAATTTGGTAGAAAGGCCCCCAGATCACCATATTACTGGCCCTGTTTGTTTCCATCAGATGCCATTGTTAGAATGAATAGGAAGAATTTTACCAATTAACTCTAGTTATAAACATTATTGACCTGTGTATGACCTGTGAAATACCAGTAGCAAGAAAATTTTCTTAGAATGTTTCTGAAACATAGTTATAATTGGCCACTCCTGGGACCGTTTTTTTATTTGTTTGTTTTGTTGTTTTTAATCTCTGGTTTTACACAAAGAAGGTGCAGAGAAGTTGTGCTTCTTGCCATGCTTCTGGACAGAGWCAGGGGCTAAGATAAAGCCACTGAAAGTCAGGACCTCCTTTCCTCAGCCTCATCTCTCTGTCKAGTGCTTGTTTCTAAACTGTGTAGGACTCTTCAGACTGCTAACTTGGTGCTTCATTCCTTCTCTACCAGGTTGTCAGACCCCACACCGTGGACGGCTCACCTTGGGATGTATGTGCAGGGGAATGCCAAGTTTATWTCCCCATTGAGAAGGATTGTGGTCCACGAGTACTACAACAGTCAGACCTTCGACTATGATATTGCTTTGCTACAGCTCAGTGTCGCCTGGCCTGAGACCCTGAAACAGCTCATTCAGCCAATCTGTATTCCTCCTGTTGGCCAGAAAGTGCGCAGTGGGGAGAAGTGCTGGGTTACCGGCTGGGGGCGAAGGCATGAGGCAGGTCCGTGTGTGAATGAATGGGCTTGGCTTTCCACACGGATGAGAGTAACTTGTGCTGATGCTGTGCTTTGGGGTTCCCAGAGAGGATCTGTATATATCATCTTCTWTGGGCCTCCTGACAACTCTGAAAGTTTGGGTTGGAGGAGACTATTTTCATCCCCGTCTTATGATTCTTTCCATCTGCTCTAGAAGAAGCAGGGAGACAGAGGGAATCTTAAAACAAAAGCAGAATTGACTAGATAGCATGGGCTCTTTTCAAACTCTGAAGAGATGCTGTGATTTCCACTAGATAAGAACAGTTCCTCCTTGGCTTCTCTTTTATTCCAAGATGTGATTCATTTTTATAAAGGAGAGGACCTTTATGTATGCACACTCCACTGTCAACTCAGACAGCCATRTAGAAGATTTTGCAGGTATGTCCTGCACCAGGACTCTTGACCAAGGGATAAAAGTGAAGAAAGAAATCCAGCCTGCCCTTAGCTAATCCAGGATTGGGCATTACACCAACCTAGAATTGGTCCACTCAGAGGGGATACCTTTTTGTGCCTTTCCACCCAGAAAAAAAGCATCATTTTCCAATATGTACCCAAGTCAGGGAGTATGCTAGGGAAGGCTGTATGTTCATCCTGCCATGATTTTTCCATGAACTAGGATTCATGGTTGATTCTGAATATATTATGAGAAGAAAAATACAAAGCTTCATGTACATGTCCCCAGAGGTTACCGCTAGAACTTTCCTTTGACCTCCCAGTCATCTGGGATTCCCTTGCAGCCTATCCAAGGGTTTAGGACAGTGTCTGTGATTCTTGAATTTTCCCTGAATGCTTGCTTTGACACTGTTTAAAGATTCACTGTGAGCAGCTTCTCAAATGCTCACTGTCCTCAGTTAGTTACTGAAGTAGTAAGATTCACCTTCATTTTATTTGCTGAGGCCTCAGAGTCCTGAGAGAGAAGGTAGCTAGGTGTTTGAATACTTATAACTCTGATAGGCTACTATGCTCCATGCTTCAGTTTCAATATCAGAAAGGGAATTGTATACCCATTTTTTTTTATAAGCATGTGTGTGTATGTGTGTGTGTGTGTGTGTGTGTGTGTGTGTGTGTGTGTGTATCATCTTAGCCAAACAGGTTTAAAGGGAAGTGAAAGAGCTATATAAAAACAGTTGTTTTTATGATTCTTCAGAGACTTCCATATGTCAGTTGTGCTCCTTTACTTAAGGAGCTCTCTTGAACAGTAAATATTGGTACTAAGCTTTGTTGACTCACGGTCGTTCTAAATGCAGGAGATGAAGGAGTATGGGACAGTGGTTTAGGTGGGGGAGGCAGATCTTGGGTCTAAATCCTGTTGGTATTTGCTAGCTATATGCCACTGGGCAAGTCCTTTTATCTCCTTAGATTCCTTTTCCTCATCACAAAATAGGGATAATAATAGAGTTCATCTCCGAGAATAGCTCTGAGGGTTAAAGGAGATAATCTGAGTTATCATTCAAATGAAACCTTGAAGAGATGTAGTCATTACCATTACCGTGATTTCCAACTCCAACGTGTTTTCCAGATAGTAAAGGCTCCCCTGTTTTGCAGCAAGCAGAGGTAGAGCTCATTGATCAGACTCTCTGTGTTTCCACCTACGGGATCATCACTTCACGGATGCTCTGTGCAGGAGTGATGTCTGGCAAAAGAGATGCCTGCAAAGTAAGTCCTCCTACCTTCCTCTTGCTCAACATGTGTTTTCCATAAATGCTTTCACATTTAATCCATGCAACTCTGGGGAATAACTAGGGCAGGTATTCCCCTTACCTCATCTGAGGTATTAATTATGACCTAGTTGCCTAAGATCAGGGAAAGGTGCCGAAAAAACTGGTTTTATAGAATCAGTTTGTAATCCCTGCATATCTTCTTCCAGCATTCACTTGGTGAGGTCAGCCTCCATAAGTCTGTCACAATTTCTTTTTAATTAAAAAGCAAAGCAAAAAATGACACACACATGCACACTATGTTTCAGGATTRCTGCCTATTTCCTTAGGAGCAGGAGCTGTTCAACTTCTGAAATTACAAGGATTTAATTTACTCATGCATCTAAAGCATAGGCAGGTGGCAGTGGGAAGAGAAGAGGAATAGGAGAGGTGACAAGAACACTTATATGCAGCCCTCTGGGTAGCCACCTCTAGCCGTGGTTCAGCTGGAGGTCACCTTGCAAGGGAGGGGATATTTCTCTGAACCTATGATTTCAAATCTATGTCCATGATCACCAAAGACGATTAAGAGAGTAAGGATGACAGCAGGATCGGTTCCCATATCTTTCCACAACTTCAGCCATGATGCCACAAAACTCATTATAATACTGACTTCTATCTTTTGAGATTCTACTTTGTGACAAGCAACCATGGTACATCATTTACGTAAATTCATTCAATTCATTCTTTTACTTCCATTTTACAGAGGAGGAAACTGGGGGCAGAGAGGATAAATAGATGACCCAAGGTCATATAGCTAGCAAGTACAGATATCTGGGCTGGGATTTGAACCCATGGCTCTCTAATGCTAAAGTTACCGTTTTAGGGTTTAGCTGGTCAGTTACATATCCCTGTTCCAGACAGTCATCAAGCTTATGCACTAAATTTGTATTAGTAGATCTGGTATTGCATCAATTAAAATAAAGATCCCAGTTTATTAACCTGTCAGAATTTACCTAATCAGGTGTAAAATTGTGAAGTTGGGATGTAGGGGCACATTTAGACTGCTGTTTAAGCAAGTTGTAACTTTCCCACCCTCCCTAAAATAGAAAAATAAAAGTCAGACATTATATTAAAAGATTTAAACTGTAGGAATTATGTTTAAATCTTTAGTTATTTGAGTCCTGACTTTATGAAGTTGAGATATCAGAAGGGACTCTCAAAAGGAAGTATTTTCTCTATGAAAACTGTCTAACAGTGGCTCTTAGGGTTGCTGCATTGGACTTGCCAAACAAAACAGGCTTTGTGTTTCTTCTGTGGCCATGATCCAGCTGCTGAAGTTGCATGGCCCAGAGATAGAAGTCACCCTTCAAAGATAACCATAAGGTGGTTGTGAGGATCAAATGACCCAAAACAGTGCCTGGAATATAGAGAACACTAAATAAATGTTAGCCCTTAATGCTACTGCCACCTATTCTTTGTATGGAGCATGTGCAAGAATCTTATAATGTTATTCTCAGACTTAAAAATCAAGTTTTTAAAAAATGAATGTAGTTTTTTTATTATAAGAAGATATCTAAACTTATTCAATGACATTAGCAGTTTCAAGTGTCAACATACCTTATATACAGAGATATGATAAATTGTGGTATATATGTGTATTAAGAATTGTAATGCAAAAAAAAGAGAGAGTACATGTACAATGGCATAATTTGGCGTGAACATACTTTACATACAGAGTTATGAAAAATTGTGCTGTAAATGGGTAATAATGAGTGTAATGCATTCCACTATTGTCATGTAAAATAAATAAAGAAAAAATATTTATTCTAATTAGGTATATATAATAGCAGAATGCATTTTGATTTATTTTACACAATTGCAACATAACTTTTCATTTATCTGGTTGTACATGATGTACCATCCCAACATATGCACAGTCATATATGTACCTAGGGTAATGATGTCCATCTCATTCCCTTTCCTACTCCTATGCTCCCTCCCTTCCCCTCCCTTCCTTTGGCCTAATCACAGTTCCTCCATTTTCTCCCTCCCCCTYCCCCATTATGCATCATCATCCACTTATCAGAGAGAACATTCAGCCTTTGGGTTTTGGGGATTGGCTTACTTTGCTTAGCATGATATTTTCCAACTCCGTCCATTTATCTGAAATGCCATAATTTTATTCTCTTTTAATGCTGAATAATATTCCATTGTGTATAAAAATCACAGTTTCTTTATCCATTCATCTATTGAAGGGCATCTAGGTTGTTTCCACAGTTTAGCTACTGTAAATTGAGCTGCTATAAACATTGATGTGGCTGCATCACTGTAGTATGCTGATTTTAAGTCCTCTGGGTATAGACTAAGGAGTGGGATAGCTGGGTCAAATAGTGGTTCCATTCCAAGTTTTCTAAAGAATATCCATACTGCTTTCCAGATTGGTTGCACCAACTTGCAGTCCCACCAGCAATGTATGAGTGTGCCTTTTCCCCCACATCCTCGCCAACACCTATTGTTGCTTGTATTCTTGATAACTGTCATTCTGACTGGTATAAGATAAAATCTTAGAGTAGTTTTTATTTCATTTCTCTCATTATTAGAGATTTTGAACATTTTTTCATATACTGGTTGATTGATTGTATATCTCCCTCTGAGAAATGTCTGTTCAGCTCCTTAGCCCAAAATAAGGAATGCTTTACTAATTTGCCTGTTGTCCTTGTGCGGGGGCCATACTAATCTTCTCTGTATCACTCCAGTTTTAGTGTATGTGCTCCTGAAGCGAGCACTACACATTATTTCTTGATGGTTCCTAGGCTGCATAGTGACCAGCCAAACAAAACATATCAGAATGGGACTTCTGAACACAATCTATTAGACACAGTAACAATGAACTTGATGATCATGAGACAAATGTCTTCATACTTAACATTATTTTTGACTTAGGGAGACTCCGGTGGACCTTTATCTTGTCGAAGACAAAGTGATGGAAAATGGATTTTGACTGGCATTGTTAGCTGGGGTCATGGATGTGGAAGAGCAAACTTTCCTGGAGTTTATACAAGAGTGTCGAACTTTGTTCCCTGGATTCATAAATATGTCCCTTCTCTTTCATAATTGTACTAGTTGTATTTTTACCTGTGATTTATGTGATAGATTCTTTAAAACAATGCAATAATTATCAATAAAATGTCATGCAATTTTTCAACTGAAAATGTTAGATTGCACACATCTGATATTTATTGAAAGACAGATATATAGTATGTGTTCCATAAAAATTACCCCAAGCATATAAAATATTCATCCTAAGGCATCAAGACATCATTGATTCAAGGATGAGAGAAACCTAAAGTATTGTCACATACCAAATCTCTAAAATAAAGTAAGAAATGAGGGAGATCTCTAGTTGTCCATACTTTATTTTATGTTCCTGTTCAAGTACAAATGTTTACAAGTATTGAGGTAAACATGATTTGCTGAAATAAGGAATTCCTGTAAAAAACCGCACACTTGATCATTAGCAATCCCATGAAATTAAATGCACAGAAAAATATATCCTTTTTAAACATAAATATAAACAAAGCTGTTATTGACAGAATAAGTACCTATATTATTGCTATCCAATTCAGTTTTGTCTAACCATATAATAACAGACATATTCTAGCCATGGCACATGGCATTGTTGTGTACAAACAAAACTGATGGTTAGAAAACTTTACAAAAATGATGGAATAAAGTATTGTGGTAGTTGGGTTGAAAGCACTTATATGGAATTCAAAGAGATTGTGGGAAGTTGGTCAATAGTGAAAAGCAAAAGGGATTTTTGGATGTTGGTTGTACATGTGGAAGTTTTCAGAAGAATCATCATCTAGCTTGTGGTTATTTCATAAAACTCAATGGTCAAGACTTTCTTTTACTTTCAAAGCCTTATAATACCTTGTATAGTCTTAAGTCTACAGTACACTCTCAATACCTTCTCAATTTGATTTATTTTGATTTAGAGGGTTCCATATTTTATCTCATAATAATCTTTCCACTAATAGAGACCATAGTTAATAGTAGCACCAAACAGGTGAAACAGCAGAAAAAAAAGAAGAATGATATGATTTGTTTATCCTGGGACAAGTTCAAAGGAGGAATAACAATCCTATCATCAAAGGGAGTTTGAGAACCTCAGAAAATCTTAATGCAACAGCTAAAGGAGAGAGAGCAAAATGTGTCATCCCCAAATCAGATAAAAGACTGAAATATAAGTATGATTTCTCTGAAACATGAATATTTCCCAGCTCACACAACATATTTTTTTTTGTCAAAGAACTATTTTACTGAGATTATGGATAAAGCATCTTGGTGATACCTTTCTGAATAGGTCCCTAAGGCTTCAGTAAACTGGCTATGGGAAAGTGCAATTCCTAGGCTCAAGTGTGCACTGAATCCACAGTGAGGGACTTAGCTATTGAATCCACTGCAAAGATAGCAATTAGGCTTACATTTCCCATAWTGTAGGTTTATTTTGCCTGGTATGGCTATTACCTGTATATAAGGCAAGTTGTACTTTTTACTTTATGATCATTTCTAAGGTACAGAATTGCTATACACAAAATAATCAAAAACTTGTCTAAATCTGTGATCTCGATCTGGGTGTGGAGGAGGGCCAGCATGATCTATCATGATCTATCAGATTCATCAGGGGGAGTTTTTCAAATCAGGGATATGTATTACTAATATGGGCACTTACTGATTCAATGTGAGTGTATGTGTTCCTCACCGTGTGTGTGTGTGTGTGTGTGTGTGTGTGTGTTGGTGGGAAGGTTGATAAACACTAACCTAATTTACTTGAATAGTTCATGCCAAAATAGGTGTCATTAGAACCTGAAAGATATGGCACTATCCACTTCATTCTTGCAAAGATGTGGACTGAGGCAGAACTCAATACTGATTTTGTTTGCAGAGTGGAATGTGSCATATTATAGGGGAGAATATGTAAGTACCAAAGCCCTCCTTTCCAGTGCCTTGAAAATTATAAAATGAACCATCATAAAACAGCCAATTATTTCTCAATTGTCTTTGGCTTGATTGGTCTGAGTGATTGATCCAATTGTCCATGTTCAGAGTAATACTATTTGCCATCTTCAATATATGAGTGTGGTCTATTGTGTTTGCAGGAGGTATAGATCTATTTAAAAGAAATGAGATGCTTTGGAGCATTCATGTTAATTATTTTGATGTTACTTTATTTTTTGTTATATGTATTAACTATCTGGGAAATTATTCCCTCCAAAAGGAGATAAAGAAAGAAGGCAGAGTACTATGACAAAAAAACCCCCMAAAACTGAAAATCTTACATTGATTATCAAATCTTGAAAAGTACACTTTTTAATTTCATTTAAATTTGAAACTTGAATACCTAAAGCAATTAAATCAACATTAATTGCAAACTATATTAAAGATAAATATTTGTGAAGTAACAATACATTTTAAAAATCTGCCCCATAGAAATAAATTCTGGAAAAATTGCAAAAACAATCTTGGTTCTTCATTCACAAATGCTTAACTTTCACCAAGAATTCTTTAATCTAAACCCAGTTGTATCTTCTTTCTAGCTCATTCTGAATGTTTAGTTTGGAGTCAAGCTGGCAGGATGGAAAAAATCCTTAGGGAGAGGTTGAAACACTCATCTGCATTGTAGGTCAGTTGTCTGAGATTAAGAAATTGGCATTTACCAGAAACAGAATCTGGTTTCAAATAATAGCTTAAGTAGTTCAGGTAATATTGGGAGGTGTCGGCAAGTGTTAGGTGACCAGGGAAATATCCAGGACAGGAAGATAAATCAATATTGAAAGAAAATATATTGAATCAAGGGTTAGTGCTGGGTGCTAAGGATTGGCTGTTAGTGGGTATTATTAATTAAAAAGTACTTAAAGTCATGAAAAGTAAGAGAGAATTTATAAAGACTGCTATTTTTAGGTGCAGGAATAAATGCTTTGCTTTAATAATTTCACTTAATCCTCTAAACTCCACTAGGTAAGGATCATTTTACAATAAGGAAAGATGCTGATAGATACTAAACAACCTGCCCAAGAACACATAGATATTGGGAGTATAAATTTGATCCTTGTTTTGCTTGCCTTCAAAACCTGTACTCCAGAATAAAAGCAACAATAAATGTTGGTGAGGATGTGAGGAAAAGGTACACACATACARTGCCAGGGGACTGCAAACTGGTGCAACAACTATGGAAAGTAGTATGGAGATTCCTCAGAAATTTGGAATAGAATCAACCACATCTGACCCAGTTATCCCACTCCTTGGYTTATACCCAAAGGTATATTCTGCTATTCTTAGTCCCTGGGTACCTCAGTTTTTCCCTTAACTTTTCCCTCTAAAAAGCCTATTCAAAAACCCTGGCTGAACTATACAAATTTAATGCAATGCTAATCAAAATACCAAAGACATTCCTCATAGAAATAGCAAAAGCAGTCATGAAATTCATCTGGAAAAATAAGAGATCCAGAATAGCTAACGCAATTCTTAGCAAGAAGAGTAAAGCAGGTGGCATCACTACACCAGACCTTAAACTATACTATACTTATAGTAACAAAAACAGCATGGTATTGGCACCAAAATAGACTTGTAGACCAATGGTACAGAATAGAGGACACAGAGACAAACCTACATAATTACAGTTACATGATATTAGACAAAGGAGCCAAAAATATATATTGGAGAAAAGATAGCCTCTTCAACAAATGGTGCTGGGAAAACTGAAAATCCATATGCAACTCAAAGTAGATCAAGGACCTAGGAATTCAACCAGAGACATTGTGCCTAACAGAAGAAAAAGTAGCCCAAATCTCAATCATGTCAGATTAGGCCTAGACTTCCTTAATAAGACTCCTATAACTCAAGAATTAAAATCAAGAATCAATAAATGGGATGGATTCTAACTAAAAACCTTCTTTAAAAAAAATAGTAACACAATAAATGGGCCAAGGAACTGAACAGACACTTCTCAGAAGAAGATATACAATCTATCAAAAATACAGTTCAACATCTCTAGAAATTAGAGAAATGCAAATCAAAACTACTCTTAATATTTTGTCTCACTCCAGTCAGAATGGCAGCTATTAAGGATACAAACAACAATTAGTGTTGGCGAAGATGTGCAGGGCGGGGGGGGGGGGAAGGCACACTCATACACTCATACATTGCTGGTGGGACTGCAAATTGGTGTAGCCAATATGGAAAGCAGTATGGAGATTCCTTGGAAAACTGGGAATGGAACCACCATTTGACCCAGCTATCCCACTCCTTGGTTTATACCCAAAGGACTTAAAATTAGCCTACTACAGTGATGCAGCCACATTAATGTTCATAGCAGCTCAATTCACAATAGCTAAACTGCAGAACCTCCCTAGATGCCCTTCAATAAATGAATGGATAAAGAAACTGTGGTATATGTACACAATAGAGTATTACTCATCATTAAAAGAGAATAAAATAATGGCATTTGCAGGTAAATGGATGGAGTTGGAGAATATCATGCTAAGCGTAGTAAGCCAATCCCCCAAAACCAAAGGCCGAATGTCTTCTCTGATATAAGGATGCTGATGCATAATGGGGATGGTGGGGAGCCTGGAAGAATAGACAAATTCTAGATATGAGAAAGGGGAGGAAGGGGAAGGGAGGGGGCATGGGGGTAGGAAAGGCAGTGGAATGAGATGGACATCATTACTCTAAGTGTATGAAGACACCAATGGTAAGACATTGTGTACAAATAGAGACATAAAAAATTATGCTATATATGTGTAATATGAATTGAAATGCATTCTGCTGTCATGTATACCAAATTAGAATAAAAAAAAAACTGGCTGAAAATGCAAACTTCACCGTAGCACCAAAGGACTCAAAATCAGCATACTACAGTAATGCAGCCACATCAATGTTCATAGCAGCTCAATTCATAATAGCTAAACTATGAAACCAACCTGGGTGCCCTTCAACAGATGAATGGATAAAGAAACTGTGGTGCATATATACATAGTGGAATATTACTCAACCTTAAAGAAGAATGAAATTATGGCATTTGCCAGTAMATGGATGGAGCTAGAGAATATCATGCTAAATGAAATAAGCCAATGCCAAAGAACCAAAGGCCAAATGCTTTCTCTGATATGTGGATATTAATTTACAATGGCAGGATGAGAGGCTAAGGAAAAACAGAGGTAGTTTGGATTAGACTAAGGGTAGTGAAAGGAGGGGTGGGGGTATGGAGGTAAGAAGGATAGTGTAATGAATTGGACACTATTACCTATGTGCATATATGATTACACAACTGGTTCTACATTATGTACAACCAGAAGAATTGCTATTGCTAGTCCCTGGGTGCCTCAGTTTTCTCCTCAACTTTTCTTCTAAAAAGCCTATTCAAAACCCCTGTCTGAAAAATTCAGACTGCTTCCTTGGTATCTGCCTGTTAAAGCAGACAACCAAGTCAGAGCAGGTTAGCCTGAATTCCCTGCAGCTAGCAGGCCCCACTTCAGCAGGCTGGTAGAGTCCAAAGTCCAGATGCTCTGGCAGTAGGCGCCAGACCACTATAAACAGGACATTGAGGCAAAGTGTCTGAACATAGGCATTAAGGGTGTCAGACTTCTGAACACAAATAAATATCTTCTGACATAGATGGTTTCTGATTCCCTGTGTGGGGGTAGCATGGAGGAGGAAGCGAAGTGGGTCTGACAGAAGTTGAGAGATGGGGTCTTTGGACAAACACCCAATGCTTAACAAACATAATTCCAGCTGGAAGTCTTGCACTATACCTTGGGTGTGGAGGAGGTTGTGCATACATTTGTACATGTGTGCATTTGCTTATTTCACAGGCTTGGGGGTGGGGGCGTCTGTGGCTTCCCACATCAAAGATAAAGAATAATCTCCAACATTTTTGAGTGCTTGCTGTGTGCAGCCGCCATTCTGAAGATTTTTTGAGTATTTTACTTATATTCACTCATTCATTCCTTTTGGCAGGAACTAATATGCCACTTTCCAAATAAGGACACTCTGGCACTGGGATCTCCTTGTTGGGAGCCCTCTGAGTTGGAAATAACTCAGCCAACTGGTTTTGGAGTCAGTAGTCCTCACTACCACTCTTTCTACAATGTTTCTATGCCTGACTCTGAACTTGTAGGAGGAAGTGTGTGTATTATTCGTCTTCCTATGCTCTCAACCTAGCACCACGTAGGTGCTTCAATAGTTGTTTCTTAATTCAATGAATGAACTTTTGCTAGGCAGCCAGGGCTGGTGTAAGCCCCAGCAACGGCCACTCCTAGGGGGAGAAGGCAAACTTTTTTCGCCCAACTGCGCTGCCAGTCCATCGGTTCCTAATCATTGGCTCTAACAGGGAAAGGTGCAGCAGACAGCGCCCTGAACAAACCAGAAAAACTGCCCTCCTCTGCTCGGGAGCCCACAGCAGGGCACAGTCCCAGAGCTGCTCTGCCCTGCAGGAGCGAGGAAAGCCTCCCGAGGCCCCAGTGCCGCCACTCTCCGGCCTCGCCCCTCCCCTTCCCTCCCCTTCCCTGCCCTCCCGGTGCCTGAGGTCTGGCGGGCGCTCCCCGCCTGCTGGGTGGAGTGTGAACCCGGGAGGCCACCGCGGACTCTGCACCCGCAGGTGTGTCGGTCTGGCCTCCCAGCGGAGCCGCTCAGCTCTTCTCAGCCGGCCCATGGAAGGGGCCAAGCCCGCATCCTCAGAAGAAGACCTGGAGCTCTCGGTGCTCCAGGAGCAGCGGGACGAGCAGACGCCTCTCAATGGAGCCCTCCAGGTCCTGGCTGCTTCGGCCGACGACACCAGCCCAGACCAGGTGAGGTCCCCTTAACGCGCCGGCGGCGTGATCGCGGGAGAGTAGCCTGGCAACCGCCCAGTGTCAGGGTTCCAGAGAGCTCCCGGGCGTCCCCGACGAGGAACCGGAGTCACGCGCACTGGAATATTCTGAATGGGGCGCCACGGCACCAATGGCCTTTGGTGGGTGCGCGCCGCCTGCTCCGCGACCCTTAGGCCCCTCTGACACCTGTGACCCTTCAAACTCCGCGGGCCTTTGCGACCCAGATGGCACTTTACGAATTCTCTCTTCAAGGAGAGCATTTCCAGAGATATAGGTGGTTTTAAAAAGTTATGCAAGTTTTAATTTAGTTTTTACCCCTTCTTTTTTCAATTAGGGAGAATGAGCTCTAGGTGTTTTTTTGTTTGTTTTTTTAACCCCCAGATTCTCTTCCGTCTCCCTCCTAACTCCTTCCAGGGCTCCCATCTCATCATTTCCCTCTCCCTCCCAAATCTCCTCACATTCCCATTCAGGCTTACCATCCCCCACACACTGTGTATTTTCTCCGGCCTTTTGATTCCACAGGAAGACAGATAAGGGGGAGGGGGAAGGGGCAAAGCAGCAAGAGCAAGAAGGRCTGGGGCTGGCCTGGAGATGGGGTGGGGATAAAATAATTTTAGTTATAGGGAAATAATTTCAAAGTTCTTTTCCCAAAGGACTAGACTAGCCTCATTTGGTTTTGCCTCTTTTAATCTCCTGGTGATTCAACCTTAGTAGCAATGGGAACATTATTCATTCACGTCAAATACTCTAAAGCATCAGTTTGAATTCTGAATCTTCTGATTAACCCCTGAGATTGGCTTGTGTTTTACACCATGCAGGGAATTCCCCATATATATAGCTTAAAACTGAACTTCCTAGGCTCCACTCCTCCACCTCCACCCCTGAGGCTAMCCAACTGTTGAGTTTAGGGATACAYAGGAAATTCAGAAGTTGAAAGCATTGCTTTTGTGCCGCACTGATTCCTGGAAGTTCTGTGCACTGAAGGACTGCTTTTATAGGTACCCTGGAGAGGAAGTTGGTAGCATGTGTTTAAATGAAATGGGACCACAAAAGAATGAAGTTTGGAAAAGATGGCTTARTTTTAGCCTAAGTGGCCACAAGGGTGGACTTGGTATAAGAATCCTTGAGGGCAGGGAATTGGGAATACTTGTCTTATGTTGATTAGACCCAGCTCACCCCAAAGATTTCCTGGTTTGAGATTGCTCTGGTGGCAACTTCACCAATAGAAGATATGTAGCAGGACTGTCAAATGATGGTGAAAGAATCCATGCTTCTGGAAACCTGGTGTGTCTGTGAACAACCACTGAGGAGTAGAACCTGCCCGATCCATGTAGGCCATCAGCACTTACACCCACCTTGTAGAGATTGCCTTTTCATGTTTTAATGGCTTCCTTGTTAGTCAGGTATATACAGATATCCTAGACCTCTTTGTAATTTAGCTTTGTAGGTCACCAAATAGGAACACCACATTGACTGACAGAATGGAGTGCAGGTGAAGTGTTATATGGGAACTTGGAAGGCATTCTAGAAATACTTAAACAGCTAAAACTTTAGAAAGGACAGAAAAAAAAAAAAAAACCCTAGAGTGTTTTAGTTAATCAGGTTCTATAGAATAAAATAAATTGAAGTGTATTTCAACTAGAAAAGTCAATTCATGTGGGGTCATTAAATGTTGGCTAGCACAGTGAAAAGTTCACACACTTAAGATTTTGTGTGTAGGCGTTTACATTCTGTATTAAGATTTCCAGTTTTGAGCTGTAGCTGAAATCCATGTATTTTCATTAAGCATATGTTCTACAACTCTTATGTACAAAATACTTGTGACATGAATGTATTTGATTATCACAACAAAACTTAAGAAGCATGTGTCAGCATTTTGATTTGACAGATAAAGGAACTGAGTGAAGAAATGGAGATTCGGAGAAGTTACCAAAACACTCAGGCTCACTCAGTGGTGTTTCTGACATTTCTGAGGTTTTTGAGGTGTCAGATATATGTTGTTTCTATCACATTTATTTATCCAGAATTTAAATGTATAAATATAACATGGTTTATACTCAATTATAGTTGCCAAAATTATAAATCATAGTGTTACTCATTTCTATAAGTTAGATCCCTCATAATTAAGTAATTTAAGTAAAATATGAGGAGCTGAGTGGTATGTCTGATGGATGAGGGAATTGCAGGTGGATGGGTGAGTGGATTTGGGAGTAAAGAACAGTTCAGGAATCCCTGGGAGGAKGACATTCTATATCATGGGTATCTTTCTACTTGGAAGAGCCGGRCTAGGGGACTATACAGAGGCAGTATAAAGAACTTTCTCTTAGTCTGGTGCTTGGGGAAAAGGAATATTAGCCATTGAACTTCACTTTGTCTCTTGTCTCTATAAACATGTCAGTATCATTGGGACAAAAGTGAAAAATAGRTTGTAGGTAACAGAGTGACACTGGTTTTCTTGCATAGCTCACTAGAGGAGTTCTGACTGAGAARTCTCAGACATTATTAGTGAGGTAGCATCATTAGAATAATAATAAGCCAGTACATTGATAGTCTTGAGGCAAGCAAGCCATACTTACTTGGGTTAGCTGACAGTCCCATTACTATAATCTGTTCATTGAAGGACAAAAATCAAATGACTCTTTTGTGTTCAGATTWAAAAAAAAGTAGATTAAATGTCACAATGAAGATTAAAAGCACAATTTTCTACCAGGTATGGTGTCTACACTGTAATCCCAGTGACTCCGGAGGCTGAGACAGAAGGATCATGAGTTCAAAGCCAGTCTCAGCAAAAGCAAGGTGCTAAGCAACTCAGTGAGACCCTGTCTCTAAATAAAATACAGAATAGGGCTGGGGATGTAGCTCAGTGGCTGAGTGCCCCTGAGTTCAATCCTCAGTAACTCCCCACCCAAATAAGCATAATTTTCCTATGTACTAAGAAAAATTTCCCTGATTTATGTATCTGCTTCTGCTTGAGCAAAAAAGAAGAGCTTTTTGGATCAAAGAGATAGGTAGTCCTGCCATTYTCCAGAATCCAGTGCCACATATTTAGACTTTTACAGGAAGAGGGATGTGAATATCTGGGAGAGTGTTCAGAGGAAAGATGCCCAAATTTTGGAGCCATATAATGCAAATAGAATGCAAGGTGTCATTTGTAAGCATCTTGGGAAGGCACCTGTGGAGAATCTGCCTGTGACCTCTCATGACCTAGAATTTGGTGAGGAGAGAATGAAAAGCCAGAGAAGGAGGCAGTATGACCTTGGGATCCCGTTTTCAGGGCAGAGACTGAGCATATGTAGGATGGTACCTACTGTATCACCTGAGCATATGTAGGATGGTACCTACTGTATCACACGTTCTTCTGCAAACTTCCAGGGGCACTTCTAACAGATGTTGATCCCTGGGTCGATTTTAATGTGCAAACAGTCAAGAAGCACTGCACTCTATTGTTTGGTTGGAAGTGGCTGATACACCATTGTTTTTTAATGACTTCAAGCTTGTGAAGATCACTCATGCAGGGGAGAGCCATCAGTGGTCCCCTTATCAGGGCTGTGGAGAGGACAAGGAAGAGTGCTAGGCTGTAGGAAGGCAGCTTTGGGCTGGGCAGTAATAGGAGTTTCCTACAGAGGAGGGCTGTGTAATTTTTAGCTAAGTTCCTCCAGGAAGGCAGAGTATTTGGTCTTTTAAACTGCCAGAGTCCCAATTTATGACCTCTAAGGAACAGCACAGTGAAGGCAAATGTGGGTGTCAAGAATGATTAGCACTCATTTTTAGCTCATTTGAGGTCATTTCCTGTTGTGCTAATCTTTATGGCCTGGTTGCCTCTTGTTAAAATAAAAAAAAACACAGCTTGGGATAATTCTAGAGCTCTGTAACTAGGAAGATATGTTTCTGTCCCAAGAGGTCAAGGATTCCTTATACCAGGACTTCTTGGCTCCGTGTGCCTTTTTGAGCCCTTTCTTTGATGGCTTTGGAGAAATTCTTCAGACTTGAGTCAGGGTGAGAGGTGGCCCTAACCCTGGACTCCACAAACACTTAGCTAAAGAGCTATTCCTTTGTCCAGATTCCCAGGGCCTTCATTGCCCTCATCCTCCTAGGACACACTGGGTTCAGTGCTTAGGAGTCTGCCATTTGACTAAGAACCAGTGCTTAGGAGTCTGCCATTTGACCTTTCTTCTAGAATTTCTCAAAGTACATTCTTAAATTTTTTGCACACATTTATTAAGTGCCTGTTACCTGTAGGAGGTACACTGTGGAACATAAGAATGGGGAAGTTCAAGAACTGCCCCTCCCTCTATGTGGTTTACCTAGGAAGATAAGGGCATCCTGCTTGCAATTGAACATGAAACCACACAGCACAATCAGCGGCAGCATCAGATGAGGTATGGGGACAGCACGTGTTCTGGGAAGTGTTCCTAATAGTGGGTAGGAAGTTTCAGACCAGGGGTGGGGGGGGTCTCAATTCTGTTAAAACAGTTGATTCACTATGGAAGGTTTAAAATGACAGTCCARTCTGCTTGGTGCCTGGGTATGTGTCAGTGAAAATCTTCCCCATGTGATTCTAGTGTGCAGCCAGGCTGGGRGACCTCTCAGTAAGGACGTTTGATATGTAGTCCTTCCTAATGAGGACCAACGGTTTCCTTTCTGATGGCCATCATCAAAATAAGGATAAGAGTGAATATAAACAAGTGTCAGTTCAGGCGTAAGCCTCCTGGAGTGCCTGCTGCTGCTTTGTAGAACAGGTGGGCACTTTGAGAGGGGATTGCTCCCCTTGGTTGAGTACTGTGTGACCAAAATACCTGACAAGAACAACTCAGGGAGGAAAGGTTTATTTTGGCTCATGGTTTTAGAGGTTTTAGTTCTTGATCAACTTGCTGCAAGGCAGAAACATCATGGCGGAAGGCAGSAGGAAGGAGAGACAGAGAGAAAGAAAATTTAGTCCATCGGGGCATGCCCCCAGCGACCTACTTTCTCTAACTGTGGCCCATCGGCCTGTAGTTAATACCAACTCTCAGAAGTCCATTCAGCTATCCATGGGTTAATCCACTGATGAGGTCAGAGCCCTCCCGATTTAATTGCTTCCTAAAAGCCCCACCTCTGAACACTGCTGCATTGCAGACTAAGCCTTCAGCACATGAGACTTTGGGGAACATTCCAGATCCAAATCATAAATAAAAGCTTAATATTGGTCTAGCATATGTTTTGTGTATTTTATCTCTAGTTTTCAGATTTGTGAGCTAAATTTTGTATTTACATACAAAACATTATCTGACTTAACATTACACTTAGGATTTTTCGGCGGAAACTGGGTTTTATATTTAGACTTTTGACCTTTTTTAAAAATATTATAAATAGTAAGTCATGTTAATTAAACAAATCAATGGGTTTCATGGTGACATTTTCATATGTGTATACGTTGTGCTTTAATAATATCCACCCTCCCTATTACCTTCTCTGGACCTCCCCACTCCCACTCCTACCAACCCATCTCCTTACCCTTCCCTAATAGTCCCTTTTCTACTTTCCTATTTTCAGATCATTATTTTTTTGTTTGGTTTTTCTTTGTTATAGTTTCCATATTGAGGGAAARCATGAGATACTTGTCTTTCTGGGTCTGGATTGTTTTGCTTAATGTGATGACCTCCAGTTCCATTAATTTTCTCAAAAAGGGATATGATTTCATTCCTTTTTATGGCTGAATAATATTCCATTGTTTGCATGTACCATATTATCTTTATCTACTCATCTGTTGCTGAGCACCTAGGTTTATACTGTAACTTACTATTGTGAATATTGCCACAATAAAGATACATATACAGGTGTCTCTTTTGTATGCTGAYTTCATTTCCTTTGGGTGTATACCCAGGAGTAGGTTTAGCTGAATCATATGGTTCTAGTTTTAACTTTTTGAGGAACTTGCATACTGTTTTCCATAATGGTCTCTCTCTTACTCTGTGTAGAAATCAACTCAAAATGGACTGAAGAACTAATGTAAGACCTGAAACATTGAAACTACCAAGGGAAAACAAGATCTAGGCACAGGCAGGAGTTTCCTGAATAGAACTTCAATAATTCAGGAAATAAAAAGCAAAAATTAACAAATGGAATGACATCAAATAAAAAGCTTCCACACAGACACAATCAACAGAATGGAGAGACAACCTCTGGAATGGGAGAAAATCTTTGTCAGCTAATCATCTGACAGAAGATTAATATCCAAAATATGTAAAGAATTAAAATAATTTAACATCCAAAGAACAAGTAAACCGATTTCAAAAAGTGGGCAAATGATCTTAACAGACACTTCTCAAAAGAAGTACAAGAGGCCAGTAAATACATGAAAATATATTGCAACATCTTCAGGCATTGGGAAATTATAAATCAAAACTGCATTGAGATTCCACCTCATGCCTGTCAGAATGATCACTATTAAAATAACGAATAGCAAATGCTGACAAAAATGTGGAGAAAAAGGAATCCTATATGTTGGTGGTGGGAACATGAACTAGACTTTTGATCTTTTCTTGGTATGATATGCAAGGATCATACTCTGTTGTGAAGTTGGGCAGCGGCAGCTCTCTGTCGGCCACACGATCACAATCATGATGATGAATAACTCATACTTACAGAGTCCTGTGGTACTCAGCTAGGTTAGATGTATTAGATGTGTTTTTTACAGTGTTTTCAATTTATGATAGGTTTGGTGGGGTGTATCCTYATCATCAATGGAGAAGCGTCTGTATTTTAAGGTGGAGGACATTGGGGCCTGCAGGTTTCCTGGGCTTGCTCAAAGTATCCGCCCCCTGCCTGTAAGTGGTGTTCCTCAGATTGAAATCCAAGTGCGTGAAATGCAGAAACACATTTTCTCCTSTCTATATTCTATCATTTCCCATGGTTTCCATGTAGAAATTCCCTAATGGTGCAGTGGGAAGCAGAAGACTCACAGAACCATTTAGGGGCAGGTAGAGGGGCAGATGGGCCCCTCTAGGGCAGCCTGGCATGCTCCTGATCTGAAGCTCCACTCAGCCATGCTAGGAGGCTGCACACAAAGGGGAGGGTGCCARAGTGTTGCTGTGACACTCCCCAGGGATTAATTTTGCCTAATCTCCTTGAACTGCATGTTTGAAACAGGCCAATGCATACCTTGAAGGGTTGTTAGGATTAAGTGAAATGACACAGGTGCTCAGTAAACCAAAGCAGCTGTGATTATTTTCTCTGACCCTACATTCTGCCTTACACGTTGCAGATTATTTCCTCTGTACCTTTTCTGTCTGATSCTTATTTTCCTTCACAGACCTTTTTTTTAAAATTATTTAAATTTTTATTTATTTTTTTTGTGTAGCATCTGGACTACAGGAGTAACCTTTTAGTTTTTTCTTGGTGTATCCAATTCAATGATACATGATTTTCCTCTTAATTTTCAACTCAGCTCTGGGTTCCAAAACCTTCAACAGGTCACCAGTGCATACCAAATCAAATACAATTTGTTCTGGCAGCAATCAAATCCTCTGGCATAGCCTCCAGCCCTTCACTATCTCTAATTTAATCCCAAGCCTTGGAATATGTTGGCCAGTTCCATTACGAATCAACACCATGGTTGCTCTTCCTTGCCTTTGGAATGCCTTCAAAAGTCCATCTTTCACACAGACAAATATTGCACATTCTTACTTATATGTGGAAGCTTAAAAATGATTTCATAGAAGTAGAGAGTAGAATAATGATTATTGGAGCTTGAGAAAGGTGCAGGGGAGAGAGGGTGGTTATCAGGTGCAGGAGGAATGCAGTTGGACCAGAGGAATAACTTTCTAATGTTCTGTATGACACAGTAGGATAACTACAGTTGATAACAATTTATTGTATATTTCAAAATAGTTAGCAGAGAGAATTTTCAGTATTCCCAACATACCCACCCAAAGAAGTGATAAATGATTAATATGATACATCATTTACTCTGATTTGATCATTACATATTGTACACAGGTTCTGAACTATCTCATTGAACCCTATCAATATTTATAATTATTATGGATCAACTAAAAATATATTTTAAAAAACTGTAAAAACAAAAAATTCACCTTTCAAAATCCTGCCTATCCTCCGTGTCTCAAGAGTCCCCAGAGTATTTTCTTGCTAACTTCTTTGTGAGGTTCCATTCTGCCTCCTATATATCTTTTCATAAACTTGATTCAGTAGAGTGTAGGTCCTGAGGTCAGGATCCTGCTGCCTTCATTTCTGTGTTGCTGACCCTAACAGGTATTGGAGAATATTTGTTTGAATCAGATGACTGCCTCACAGTCTCACTTTGCTTTCTAGGCCAAGAAGGAAAGTCCCTGGAGCTCCTGCAATAAGAAGTTGGTCGGCAAGTGTAAACTGTGGATGGTCATCACCTCCATCTTCCTGGGTCTCATTATAGTGATCATCATTGGTTTATGTCTTAGTGGAGGTAAGAGGATTTCAATGTGACTAAGTTGACACATTTTTGCTTAATGCTTGTGACCTAATCTGAAATGGAAACTGTATTCATTGCTATTTCACTACTTAAGACATGAGTTGAAAATTGGTTTGGATTGAGTTGGTGGAAGATATGCATGCTTTTGTTTTTTATTATATTTTGTTGGTTTGTTTTATAAACTCCAGAAGGAGTATGGAGAGCAGTATTTTGCTTTGAATTCTGACCATTAGATCTTGAAGACGTTTCTTATGTTTTTAACTTACACTAATTTACATGTTTTTGCATCTCAGTATTTGCTTGTTTGAAAGTTCTTTTTGTTCTTATAATGTGTCCAATAAAAATGATTATCAAGTTCACTGGGTATATTTGATATATTTTTATAATGATAATATATTGAGTAATGAATTTGAGTTTTAAAAGAACTATGGATCTATATGTCTATGAGCTGTCATTTTAACTTATTTTAGAAATAACTTTATATTTGTTTTATGCATGTATAAAAGAAATTATATCTTGTGAATGATATGCTTTACATATTTTTTCTTATTTTATTATTTATTTTGAATTAAAAAATAATACGTGTTCAATTACTGATAAAACCCATTCATATTAATAATAGTTATATTTTCTTCTAGTCTTTTTATTACTTGCATTTTTAAAATAATTTAAGATCAAGTTTTTTAAAGTTCATGGCGTACCTTTAGAATTTTAATAGTAATATTAAGATAATTTTGGCAAGTCATTAGAAATTTTCTGTTAGCATCATGTTTTTTAAATGGTTCATGATATAGTCTTCTACACCATTTTAAAGCCTGTGAGGGCATTACCAAATTGATATGGTTAATGATATTATTAAAATTTTTATGATGCATAAATATGTCCAATGGGCAATTAATTCTTTTTCAAAATAGGAAAGAAGTCAATAGTTTTGTTTTTTTATACATGGGGTGACAGTTCTGAGGGGCACATCTAGACCTGGAATCTACCTTTGTGGGATCTGGCCTCTGCCAGCAATCGGGTGGAGTCAAGCTATGGAATGAGAGCAAAAGTGGAGAGAGAGCTCCTGAGTCTCTTCCCAGGGGCTTGTTAGGAATTTTCCTCAGGAGGTACATTTGCCATTCAACCTCCTGTTGTCCCCTTAATCTTCTGCCCAAGGTTTCATAGTCCCTGAAGGAATAATAAAACTTTGATGACATCAGCCAACTTCCCRCATCTGAGTTTCTCAGGCAGGCTCCTTGTCTACTTAGTTATTTAAGGCATTCTTTAGGTGGGATGGATGATTCTTCTAGGCCTTGAGCTGGCTTTAAGTTGGAAGAGTTAATAAGAGGTGCCAAATCTCCTCTGTCATGCTGAGGACCATAGTCTGGATGTAATCTTTGGCCTTCTCTCTTCACATGGGCTCCCATGTGTGGATGTTGAAACTGAGGTTGAGTCACTCAGTCCTGTCCTATCCCAACTAGTTGGTGCAACCTTGGAAGTTTACTAATTTTATCCGGTAGCATCCCTGTCCTAAAACAAGGCAGATCTTGGTGATTTACTATTTAGGATTCTAAAACATAACATCCAAAAATTTGTCTTCAATTCTTAAAATTGTCTGATCTCTTCAACTCGTAAAGAATAATCTGCAAAGATAGATATTACATTTCCCTCAATTTTTCTGGAGACATGAAAGATCATAGGATAGTATTCAGAGAAGAATGTTTGAACACTTGTAATGCGAACTTTCTTTTTAGTTTGATTGTAAATTTGTCTTTTAACATATGTTAATGCTGTGTGAGTTTTACTTGCCATCTCAACCTTCAGGTGTTCAGGCCTGCAGAGAGAGTCATGGCAGACTAAAAAAAAAAAAATCATATCTAAAAGGCTTTGAATTAACAACAGCAACAACAATAAACAATAAACCTTTTCAGTTACCCATAAAACCCATTTATATTAGTAATATTTTGTTATATTTTCTTGAAGTCTTTTGCTTTCTTGCATTTAAAAAATAATTTGAGATCATTTTTTAAAAAATAGTCTTGTAACCTACTTTTAGGATTTCAAGATTATATTGAGGTCACTTTGCCACYCAGTCAAAATTCAGGGAAGAAATTTTAGTGGGGAGAGGATAGATGCAATACCTTAACAAGTGGTGGAACAGAGGCTCCCCTCTGTGATAGTCCCAGCCTCCCCTAAAAAGCAGCTCTCTGGGAGTTCTGGGATGATAATCTGCAATACTCAGCTGCTGTCTAATTGCCAATCCATGGATATGAATCAAATACTTGCAGAATTCCCCGGTACTGGGAGGAATATGTTGTCTGGGAAAGGGTCAGTGTTGGGAAGGTAGAGGGCTGTGCCTCTGGCTGTCTGGATTCATTAAGAGACTGAGATTCCTCTGCAACTCTATTTGCCACTGGCCTCCTGCTTTTCCTCCTCCAAACCCCTTAATCTCCTGTCTCTAGGCCCTGTAATCCCCCAACAGACTGGCAGACAGAGCTGGTGATAACTGTGCTGACACAGAACACGGCATTAAATGCACCCCAGAACAGAAGGGTAACTAGTTGGGGAGGGGACAGTGGGGTACCTAGGGCACAGTATTTAGTGGGGAGGTGACCTTAAGAAATTAAGTAAGCAATAAGACCTTAGCCAGTCTTATTACTGTTGCTGATCATCTACAGACTGTGCACCTCTATTGCTTACACTGGGCTGGGCTCCCCACTCCCGCCATTGGGATGGCAGATTCAGGGTCATGGCTTAACTCAGGCATGGAGTACCTGTTGTGTACACACTGGGGAAAAGAGGCCAGTGCTCCTCCATACTGAGCTGATGCTGACATTTTTTTAAACAGCCAATTTTATGGTCAGAGCCCAGGTTATCCTGTTGAGTGTGGAGGCCTGTTTTAGACCAGCATGGTAGGGAAAAAATATTAATGGACTCTCTCCTTCTCCCCCCAGGTATTAAAATTTCTTCGTGTCAAGGGTAAAGTTTTTTTTTTTTTTTTTTTTAAAGCCTTCCTCTTTCTCTCAAAGTAATTTTGTTTCTGGATAATTTGGAGAACCAGTTAAGCATCCTCAAGTGGTGGGGGCTGGGGGGTGGTGAGTTCTCCTTTCTTTAGGCAGAGAGAGACCCTGAGCAACTTTTTACTAATACAAAACTTAGATGGATGTTTAAAAATAGGATAACAAGTTACAGCACTCTTGGAGCCTTCAGGTAATCCCTCCCAGCATGACAGATTCCTATCTGATCCTTTAGATCTCTTAATTTATAGGCCCTTCCAGGGGAAGAAATGCTGTGGTACTGAGTTGTAAGCAGGGACTTTCTAAGTGACTCTRTGTTGAATGGATTCATTTTACCTTTCAGTTGAGAATAAGAGCTGTATATTTTGCTATCACGTGGTCCTGGCCTGTCTGAAGACTGACAGTCTTCACAGGGCAGTTCCCCCTGGAGTCTGGTGACTCATGAGGAAATCCTAGGCAGACAGCTTTAGCAAGCTCTGAGATGCAAATGTCCTTTGGGGCGGGAACATGATAGCATCTCTGTAGACCCACGACCTTGACATTTCTTTGCTTTTCCAGCTGTCTTCAAATCTSTKTTTTTTTTTTTTTTTTCACCTTATCAAAACCGAATTCTTTGCCTGTTATCTTCACAGAATACGCCTGGCTTCTCTCCCAAAGACCTGTAGATATTTCCACCTTGTCAGGTTCCTTTCTACTCTTTATCTCTCCTTCAAAGCAATCTTCTACAGGCTTCTTACTACTGGGTTTAAATATATATATTTTTTCTCTCTTCTTGCACTGGCGAACTTCTAGAAAGAGATTCTCTGTAGTTGGATACCGTCTCCTGCTTACTCCTAAACCTCTTCTATCCATTGGTCCCAAATTGTTCTTCCCAAGGTCACTAGCAGTTGTCTGAACACAAAATCCAACCTTTTCATTTTCTTCCGTCCTGGCTGAAGCCTTCAGTTCTGGCAACTACGTTATATTCCTCTGAATCTTCAGAACACCTGGACTTTAGTTCTTTTTTGCTATTTTTGCTTTTGGTCTCTCTGCCTTATGGGTCCATGAGGTTTATCTTCAACTGTTTTTGATTCTCATACTTTTTATTCTTTCTCTTGGAAATCCCAGGGCATCACCCATCTCCTCTTTAGGAGGAAACTCCTAGGTGTACATCTGCACAATTTTCTTCAGTTTTGGAGATATTTTTACTAGAGATCTCTACCTTGATGTAACTAACTACCATCATCTCAATCATTATCCAAATGAAACTACTAGTTTTGTTCCTTTCTCAGTCAGTGTTGGGTGCTATAATAAAATACCATGAACTTGTAAACAACAGAAGTTTATGGCTCACAGTTCTGGAGGGTGAGGAGTCATCTAAAGTGAAAGTGTCAGTGGATAGATGTGGTGTCTGGTGAGAGCCCACTTTTTAGGTGGCACCTTCCAGCTGTGTACCTCCTGGTGGAAGGGATGGGACAGGGCTTTGGGGCATCATTTATAGGAGTACTAATCACTCGTGATTATCACATTGGTGATTAGGTTTCAACATTTAAATTTTGAGGGGACACAAACATTCAGACCAGAGCATGTGCTCCTYCCCAGTTCGCCTGTTAGTTGTAAGGTGAATCAGGAGACCAGGTTTCCTTCAGCTATGCTCCCACCAAGGTGTGTAACTTTAGGCCAAGTCTTCAATCCTCTGGATCCACTTTCACATTCATAAAGCAGAATGATCTCCGAACCYGAGTCTATAGATCTACCTATACCCTATGACATTCTAGCTCATTGACCTGAACAAAATATGCATTTTCCGTAAGCCCCAAAGTCTTCATTTAAAATTAAAAATAATGATATTTAACTCATTGGATTCATGTGAGGATTACATGAGGTAATACCTATAAAATATATAGCAGAGTGTTTGCACTTAATGCTTAATACACTAGCTATTTTTTCGTGTGGCATATATACGATATATACGCAATGGAATATTACTCAGCAATAAAAGAGAATAGAATCATGACATTTTCAGGTAAATGATGGTGTTGGAGAAGATAATGCCAAGTGAAGTTAGCCAATCCCAAAAAAACAAATGCCAAATGTTTTCTCTGATTAAGGAGGCTGATTCATAGTGGGATAGGGAGGGGGAGCATGATAAGAATAGATGAACTCTAGATAAGGCAAAGAGGTGGGAGAGGAAGGGAGGGGAGGGGGGGGGGTTAGAAATGATGGTGGAATGTGATGGGCATTAACATCCAAAGTACATGTATGAAGACAAGAATTAGTGTGAATATACTTTGTATACAACCAGAGATATGAAAAATTGTGCTCTATATGTGTAATATAAATTGTAATGCATTCTGCTGTCATACATAACAAATTAGAATAAAAAATTTAAAAAATAATATTTAATCTGTTGGATTGATGTGAAGATTACATGAGGTAATATCTATAAAATGTAGAGCAGAGAGTTTGCACTTAATTCTTAATACAGTAGCTATTTTTCTTCCAGGTATCTAGGCTGGATATCTTGGAACCATTTTTTCATATCTTCTACTACATGTCTAGACAATGACCAAATCTTATTTGTCATTCTTGATAGTATCATGCTAGCAATTGTCCTGCATCCTGCCAGGCACTCTGCTGGATATTTTATTGGCATTGGTTCTCATCTTTACCATCACCTGCAATGCAGGGGTTGATATTTTTGTTGAAAAAACAGCTTTAGAGATTTAAGTGAATTATTCACTGGACTAATAAATAATGGGGCTGGGGTTCAAATAGAGTCTGGCCACCTGTAAAGCCAACTCCTTCCTTGCTTTTCTCCCTCCTTTCTGACTTCCTGCTTTCCTGCCTTTTCCTACCACTCTCAGTCAAAATCAGTGCCTACTGGCCTCTCTGCTTCCAGTCTCTCCCAGTTCCATTTCATCCCACCAGTAACCACCACATTAACCTCTTGCAAATGCTAGTCTCTACTTTCTTCATGGGAGACTTCTAACAACCCTCTATTACTCCCTGATGTCATCGGATATTTAAGGCCTCCCCTCCAGCTTCATGTTTTATATTCCCACTGAAGAGCTGACATGCTTCTCCCACATACTTGTGTATGTTTTTATGAATTTTTTAAACCTATTTTCTGTACATGGACAGTACTGTCCAGCTTAAGTCTCATTAGTGACATTAAAAACTCTACTGAYTGGGTAAGTCTGTTGTTGTTGTTGTTAGTATTTGAATTTTGACAAACACAACTATTTAGCCAGGTCCTGATGCAGATTCATTATTTAGGTGCTACAAGTTAAGTATATGTCCTAAGAGCTAATATTGGAGACCTCTTTTTGAACTTGGCTTCTCTTTTTCATGTCCCGAGTTTGGCAGTTATTAGAATCTCTGATCTATCCTCCAGTGTCACCTAGTTCCTTTCTGAGGCACTGATGTCTGCTACAGAAATCTATGTGATAGGTACAGAGCTATCTACTGCATGAGGAAGTATTTATAACAGTGAGAGCTGAAAACACCAAATGTCATATTTAAGAAAGTGCATGACCCTATTCTGAGCATTATGAAGCCATTAAAATAGTCTTTGCAAGGACTTTCATGCACATGGGGAATGACTTTGCCAATGTTAGCAACCACAGAAGAACCAAGACAAATGAGCAACAATAGCACACACAACAAAAAGCAGGATATAAATGACCTACTCATTAAAACCTCAAATATACAATAGAAAATGTGGGGATTAGATAACTAGTCTTTTTTTTTAATTACCTTTTTACAAAAATTTCCTATTATTTGCAAATTTTCCATTATGAGGGCCCAACTTTTATTGTCAAGTAAAATAAAACATGGTTTATAACAAATAAAGATGCGGGGATAATTCTGTTTGGAGTTGCCAAAATTAATTCCTGGATTCAGTGACTTTTTTTTTTTTTTTAGGATTTCACAGGACTCAGCATATAGTTAAACTAATGACTATGATTTAGTATAGCAACATGGTACCTTGAATTAAAAAKATTTATTACAGTGAACTCTAGAGGAAGCTAGGTGCAAGCCGGAAAGATTTCTCCCCCAGTTGTGTTGCACGGGACCTGCTTACTTAGAGCAATAGGTTATGTACGCATGTGAAGTCTGGTCTACTTAGACCGCCTGGGTCTCGTTAGACATTCAGTGCCCAGAGTTTTCACTAAGAGTTAATCACATAGGCAGTCTAGCATGCATGTGCAAAATCTCCAGACTCCAGAAAGAAAAGAGACGTCAGCCACATTGTTTATACAAACATTTGAGGCACAGTGGGCCCTCTTAGCCAGGATGTAGGAACCTTCCCCAAATCTTAGTTTCCAGACACCAGCCAGGAGCCAACTCCAAGCATTCCTTGGCAGGGAGCCACTTCAGGCCTGCTGTGTTAACTCTTCACGTCCCTTGCTCCTGAGGCATTACAATTTTTAAATTCCATCAGGGAACAAGTCCCAGGATTCTTGCTTCTTACCTGCTGTCTCATAAACACTGAACTTCTTCCACGATAGCTTTTCCAAGTCCAGTAAAAGAGACTCATTTTGTTATGTTTGAAGCATGGGGTTTGAGGGGAGCATTTACGAGCACCTGGTTCTTCCCACCCACGCCTTTCTCAGGGCAGAGTGGTGGTCCCTTGTGTGGGGCCAGCTGGTGAGGCTGGCATGGATTCCGTGCATAGCGTAATGACTACCTGAGTGCCAACTTTTGGCTCCTGATTTTGTGTGCTTTTTTTTTTTTCCGGCTCTACTTAAAAATCAATTAGTTAGCCTTCATTAGGACACAGGCAACACAGAGCTCATTGTCCCAGAAACTTAACTCCTGTTGGCCCCAGGGCTCAGTTTGGCTTGGCTTCTGCAAATAGAGTGCGTCAACATTCCTCTCCTGTGGGACCCAAGCTAGAGCAATGACTTCATGGGCACTGTCTGCTGGGAAGACTTTAAGGCTTGGGCTCACACGCTCATTTTCTAGTGTCTCCTCCATTCTTGTGCCTGATATCACTTCTTGATCTTTGATAACACAGCACTGGATGAGGGTTCAATGAAGTTGGTTGCTATGACTTCCTGTGTCCCAGCACCCCCTGCCATCTCCCAGCACCAGCCTACATCTCTGTACCTAATGAAGTTTACATTCTTTCCACTTCTTTCCGCTGGCTCTTCCTCCAGTCTGAATTTGATGGCCTCTTAAACCTCTTTGGGCATAAAACAAATCAACCTTTAATCGTAACAGAAGCAAGCTCTTGTTTTTTATTCTTCAGAGAAAGCATTTCTGGTGTTTAGCTTTATCCTTGATGAGTATTCATTGTTATGTTTAAGTATAGCAGGCAACAGAATCAGTGTTTATTATTTTAGTCAAGTATTTACTTCTCTTTTTAAAATTTTCATCCCCTCCACTTTTTAGTAACTTATATTGATGAAGATGAAAATGAAATATTTGAGATATCATCAAACAAAACATTCTTCATCATGCTCAAGATTCCAGAAGAGTGCATTGCAGAAGAGGAATTGCCTCACCTGCTCACTAAAAGGGTAATTATGTCTTACACATTGCTCACTGAATTCTTAACACTAGAGTCTGAACTCTGCTAGAAAATGGCATAGAACTTTAGAGTAAGGAGCTATTATTCTTTGAATTTTGGTAGAAAAGGATGCTTAGAAATGCATTTTCTATGGTGAAAAGCCAAAGGGCAGAGATCTAGCTAGCCTCCAGCTGCATCTTGGAGAACAGTGGAGAACAGTTCTAGTCCTGGAGAACAGTGGAGAACAGTGGAGAACAGTTCTAGTCCAATTTGTAGTGTTCATTGAAGATCCAATTTGTATATTAGTTGAAACTGGTCTGTTTGGGAAGTTTGATATGTGCTCGCAATATATAACGTGCCAGGGCCACGTGGTCTGTGCCCTCAATGGGCTCACAGTCTAAGCAGAGGAAGCCATTAAATCAACATAAAATCCTGAGGTATGTTCTATTATTGAGATATGCACAGTGTGCTTTAGTACCACAAAGGAGGGGCAGGTATACCACCTGAGGAGAGGTTAGAGGTGTGTAAGCCTCTTGGAGAAGGTGATTCTCAGGATGAGTTTTGAAATACAAGGTAGGAATGTTCTAGTTAGAAGAGCTCAGGACCTTGAGAATCTGCACAGTGGTTACTGTGTCTGCTGCGTGCAGAGGACTCGGGGAGAAGCTGAGGAGGAAGGTAGGGGTCAGATCATGAACTTTTCCTGGTCCTTTGTAAGGCACTGAAAGACGTCAATCAGCAGACTGACTTGGTCAGATTTTCATTCTAGTCTTTCTGTGTGATGAGGGAGAAAGATTCCAGGAAGAGAACAGTGAGAAGGTCTTGTAGCCAGTCAGCTGAGAAATGAGGGAGGTTTGAGTTAGGGCAGTGTGAGGAGGAATGAGGAGGATTCCAGAGAGATCTAAGAGGTATCCTCACTTAACAAGACTGAATGGATTAGATGGGAGTGGGGGGAGCTGATTCCCATCTCCTGGTTGGGAGGTTGGGTAGATGGATGGCGGCTTCATTTATGGGGTAGGAATGCCAGAGGACGAGCCTTCTGTGTAAGATGGGGCTCTGCAGCCAGATCACCAGGGTTGGTTGGGGCATTCTCGGCCATCCTGTCAAAGACCCGCAGTTCACAGTCTGACCCACAGTTTTTTTTTTTTTAAAGATGTTAATTGGCTTTATTTTTAATTCTAGCATTGGGAAAGTGCTGGGTATCTGTTCGCAACTAAAAGGCTCAGGGGTCACTCCAGGTAAACTGGGCTGACTGGGCTGTGCAAAATAACCACATAAGAGACACAAATACCTTTTCTCGGGGGTCGCTGTGACAGCTCCTCTGACCTTAAGGGTCTGCAAGAAGAGAGAGAGCTAGAGCACGAGCTGACCCCTTTTATTGAGGAGAAGCTATTCAAATGAGGCAAGGGGTCAGGTTTCAGGGGGCCGAGTCTATCTTCATGATGTCCACTGTCAGCAGGTTGACACATGTGGGTAGGTCACACCCAAGGGCAGAGTAAGAGAAGGGGACACACACAAGGCACTTCCATGGAAGATTCTACCCTAAACAGSGCAAGGGGTAATAATACAAAGGAATAGGTGAGCTTAGCTCCACCAAGCGGGACAGTCTAGCAGCATGGGTGCCTTACATCACATCGCCAAGCAGGGGAGTTAACTCAGTCATGTGCGAAGTTGGTCTCCCATAGGAAAGATTTCATTCCATAAAAACTAGAATAAGTGCTCTAATGGTCTGAGCAAAGGTGGTAGGTTTTATAAACAGACAAGGGCTTGAAGAAACCAAAAACAAAAGTGGATCTATCATTTCAAAGTTACTTTCCTGATAAGGTGAGGACACAGAGGTAGAACAATAGGAAAATATCTGATTGGTTAGCATTAGGTTACTTTAAGTTACCTTTTTTGTGTGTGGGTTAGGATTAATGCTAAGGTGGAGGGAACTTCATTATTATGTTAATTGAAACTGGTCTGTTTGGGAAATTTAATTATCTCTGTAATCTGGATTTCACTTAAGGTCAGATATGAACAGTCTAGTTTCGGCTTGGTGACCTGAATGACACACTATTTTGATTTTAGCCTGGTATATGCAGGAGCTTAGCTCAAAACAATGGCGTCCTGTAACTTTATTTAAGAATTCCCCTCTGTTGTCAGGGTTACACCTAAATGAGAGTGTGATAAAAACTGAGGGCATGAGCACTCTCAGCTATCATCATTTTGTGCTCTGGTCTCAACACACCATCTATTGATTATGGTAATCTCATGATCACAGAGTTCTTTAAATTTTTGTCATTCCAGCCAAAGAGAAAGCATTTGGTGTTCAACAGATGACCGTATGCAAATATTTTAAACTTTTGAGATGATATAAAACATCAGAAGGACTGCYATTAGGACTATCAGAAAGATAATCCGTGAGTTTGAAGTATGCTCCTTAGCCAGGGTCCAGGTAAACCAAACCAATTAAAATAAAGTAGATCAAAGAATGAGACAGGGGAGGAATCTACCTATCTGTCTAAATCAAGTTAGCCTATTTGTTCAGTTTTGCAACTGGATCTCTTTGATATCCAATGTGTATCTATGTGTATCAGGAAGTATAAGTAACTGTACAGATTCCTGTTTGCTCAGGCAGTAGCAGCAATTCTGTCACCTAGCATCCCAGGATGGGTTACATTATAGCAGAGAGTGCCAACTCTAAGAGAGACCAYTAGGACAATTTGAACAAATGGTTGCATTAGGGATGTTGCTAAAGTTMCTCGTTTGGTAGACAAAGAATCTTTTAAGACCTGGGTTTGTGTTTGAGATGGCAGATCCGACATTGTCAAGTTACTCATAAAGCTACTGATTATGAAATTCAGACCATAACATTATCCTGCAAAGTGAAAGAGATTGACATGAACAAGGAGAAATTAAGAGGGTCTTGAAATATCTTGGGAAAACTTGCCTACAGCATGATATCAACTTCTACTCCCACTTTGCAGTCTGATTGTCTCTGATTGGGAACATCGGATGTTTTGGTGAACTCTGTGTGGCTGTGTTAGTCTACTTTGTGTTACTATAGCCAGATACTTGAGATAATCAACTTAAAAGAAGGCAAGGTTTATTCTGGTCCACAGTTTCAGAGGTTTTAGCCCATTGCTTTTGGGCCTGTGGCTAYACAGTATACCATTATAAGGAGTGTGTGGCAGAAAGGAGGGGGGCAGGGGAAAGGGAGGGAGAGAAAAGGGGCACCCAAGTCCCCCTCAAGAACAYGTCCTCAATTACCTAACTTCYTTCYACTAGGTCCCACCKTAAGGTACCTCCTCCGCCTCTCTGTARTGCTATAGGCAGTGATTAAAACCTTTAACACCTGGGCCTTGGGGGACATACCATAGCAGTGGCCTATATATCAGACACAAGACTTGTCCCTTGAAATTTATATCAAGTTGCCCAGCGCCAAGCTCCCAAGTTTCATTTTGTTCTTAGTTGGAGAGTGATAGCTAAATCCTACAGAAACCTAGGAAAATTCAGAATCCAGTCCAGTCTACAAGTAGATCATAAAAAGCAGTGAGYAGGACTACAATCAAATAACAGGTCTGTTATGATTTTCTCCTGAAATGTAACTTTTTTTTCTATATAATCACCCTCAATGTCTTTTTAATCAAAGACAATTGAGGTAGGACCAATTTGTTTGCAGAATGGGCCTRGTCTAATTGTTTGTATAAATATATCTAGAATAACCATAGAGGCTCTTTTACAATTGGTTTTATTGTACATTTGACGAGGAATATCTGATTGGACTTTTAAAAACCTCCAGGTTAGGAAGCCCAACCAAGGAAGACTTCAGACTATCTGTACCTAACAGTAGCACATAGTATCTTGAGGATCCTGGGCTTGTCAGTGAGTGACAGCTTTTACTCACACACTGTAAGTCTGGGGACCCTTGAAGCCAGGCATTCCAAGCACATTCCTAAATATGACATCCTGGTCAAAGCCAGTATTTCCAATTGTATCCTGTCATAAAGAGATTAAATTTTTATTGAACTTATAACATAGCCATGTTCTCATAAATGTAAGAACATTCACGAATAGTTTCCAGAGTCTGGAGAAAAGCAAATGTTTCAATATTTGTTCATAAAACGAATCTTTGCCAGGTTGCAATAAACTATAGATAGCCTAAAAGAAAAAGTTTCCTTAAGTCTGAATTTTTACTAGTTACCTTTAAAACTGGAACTTTCTCCAGTGACTTCTTGGCCAGTCACTACAAATGAAAACTTAAAGGCTCTCTCACAACACAAACTAACCCTGGCACCCTAAGAGCCAAAGGAGGTCCATGACAAAAAGAGCAGAATCYGGTCTGAGAGGAAGGTAGAGGGCACCCCCGGGACACCAGTGGTACCTTTCTGCATTCCTCAAGGGGTTTCGAGAGTTATCAACACTTTCCTTCTGGTCCCGTTTTATAGTTGCTAGATCTGTCAAAGGACAAAATCGCAACAATTTAGTTTAAGATCTCAATTGGCTGTATTTTCACTTCTTGTATTAGGCCACATTTTATTCCATAAAACAGAATAAATGTCTTCTGGAAGTTTTTTGATTTAAAAAAATCCAATCAAGATCAACCTGCCCTCCATGATTCTGCTCTACCATGGCTACATGGAATGGAGAGAGTCCTCTTTATCTGTTTTCCATTTGATTCCTACAGAAGCTTCTGAAGAGGCAACTCCATCTAGATTGTGTCAGAACAACTGCATGAGATTGAATTGCTTCTTTTATCACAGGAGTTTCTGTGTGTGTGTGATGATTATTCCAGGTTTCTTTTTCTCCTTCTCTTCCATGTTAATATCTGTTGTCTGTGGTTCCCTTTTGTCTTTTCTTCCCACATTCTTCCCAGAGCAGTTATTGAGTGAATAGCTTCTTGCTACTTTCCCCTGGCTTCCTATTTTCATGGAGTGGCTTTGCGTTTGCCTAGCAGAAATAAAATGTCAGCAACCACATGATATAGACTGGACTCTGTGTCAAAGGCAACTTTTAGATGTTACTTTTGCA